CTTTAACTGCGTTGTGATGTAATTTGCTAAATCTGTAAATGTAACATGAACAGAGCATCATATGAAAATGATCACAAAGGTTATAGGTGATGTCAATGTTTTCCCAGTGGTGTAATTTCCAGAGAAGTGACAGATCCCCTTTTCAAACTTCAAAAACTCCATCAAACAAGCAGTAACAATCCCTCCATAGCCTCCTTATAGCAGACACTGTTAATTTGTAAGTATTCTAATATGAATTACAGTGTTTTTAATTGTTCCAAATTTAACCTCTGTTTTCATGAGATTTTGTATTTCAATTTTTCTCTAAAGCTAAAATACACAAAGTAATATCTAAAGCTATTATAGACACAGATTGCATATAAGCCCTGCATATATGAAGGCAATATAGAAAGAACATACCAGATCACACTGACTGGGTGGTGGAGTATATATATTATTTATATGGTGGTAAGAGGTGTACGTAGCACTTTGCAAGTTACATTACAAAAAAGGGAAGTACGGTCAGTGCTGTAGGTATACAGACTATGCATGTTTAATTTATATAGCACTAACAGGTGTACTTTACATGATACATTACTGTAGAGAGAGGTACAGTAGGTATACAGTCTATATATATATACATATATATTATTTATATAGAGCTAACAGGTGTACTTAACACTTTACAGATTACATTACTGTAGAGGGAGGTACAGTAAGTGCAGTAGGTTTACAGTGTATGTGTATTTTATTTATATGCGCTAACAGGTGTACTTAGAACTTCACAGGTTACATTACAGTATAGGAAAATGCACTAAGTGCAGTAGGTATACAGTCTATGTATATTTTATTTATATGCGCTAACGGGTATACTTAGCATTTTGCAAGTTACATTACAGTAAAGGTAGATATACAGATACAACAGCTCTGGTGGACATTCCTGCAGTCAGCATGCCAATTGCACGCTCCCTCAAAACTTGCGACATCTGTGGCATTGTGCTGTGTGATAAAACTGCACATTTAAGAGTGGCCTTTTATTGTGACCAGCCCAAGGCACACCTTTGAAATAATCATGCTGTCTAATCAGCATCTTCAGGTGGATGGATTATCTCGGCAAAGGAGAAATGCTCACTAACACAGATTTAGACAGATTTGTGAACAATATTTGAGAGAAATAGGACTTTTGCGTGCATAGAAAAAGTCTTAGATCTTTGAGTTCAGCTCATGAAAAATGAGTTGCGTTTATATTTTTGTTCAGTGTATATATATGTATATATATATATATATATATATAATGTTATTTATATAGTGCTAGCAGGTATACTTAGCACTTTACAGGTTACAATACAGAAGGAGGTATAGTAAGTGCAGTAGGTATACAGTGTATGTATATTTTATTTATATAGTGCTAGCAGGTGAACTTGGCACTTTACAGGTTACATTACAGAAGAACAGGGTACAATAAGTGCAGGAGATACATGGTGTATGTATATCTTATTTATATAGTGCTAGCAGGTGTACTTAGCACGTTACAGGTTAATATTTAAAGGGGAATTGTCAGTTTTTTGGATTATACTTCAAACATTTTATTGGAGTTCAAATATATTAAAAGAACACAATGGGTACCAGGGTTACATATTCAAACACCCCAAATAAATATTGCTGAGTTAAAAATCTCAAAATAGGCAAAAAATAAAATAAACAAAACCAAACATCCAATATAAAGTAAGAGTTATAATCGTTTCCACATGAAAAACATAAGGTACCCCTACCCCTGAAACAAAATCGAAACAGTAGCCAAATCAAAGTATTTACAAGGTTTCTCCTATCCTCTTCATTATCCAAATCACACCAGAGGCTGCCCATTGAGTAGTCTTAAAGAGCACCAATTAGTATGTTGAAATGTTTGATGAACAAGAGCTTTTGAAACCTTACTTTCCTTGAATTCCGAGACTCTTCAGGATTTAACACCACTGAATAAAACATTGAAAATCAACTTATAACTTGTGTTAAAGGGTAACTCCGAGAACCATGACCACTTCAGCGATTTTAAGTGGTCATGGTGTTTGGAGTGTGTATTTGCTGCACATGCAGAGTTAAAGATCTTTGCTGTCGGGGTGTAAATCCACCTCCATCTGCATAATTCCCAGTCTGAACAAGTTCCAAGCTGGCTAATGTTAGATTGGTGCATAATGGACATCTATCATCAGCATTAATAGCACACTGGCAACTAGTGATGTCGCGAACCGCTTATGGTTCTCTCAGTGGGCGGTTCATTGCGGAGTGTATTTGAAACAGCGATTATTATCTCCGCATCTTCGCAGTTTGACAGCATCCATGTTGAAGGCAGCTTCAACATGGATGCTGTCCAGGAGGTGGGAGGGTCTGGGAGGGAGGGTCTGCCGGAGATTGGCAGGGATGTGTCAGCTGACCGGAGTTCGCCACGAACGGTTCGTGGCGAACCGTTCGCGGCAAGTTCGCGAACGGTTCGCGACATCACTACTGGCAACAGGCTCCCACACGTCCCACCCCCTGCAGTGAGAGAGAATTATATCAACAGAAAAGGATTGGGCTGAGAGGGAACTTGGCCTTATCATGGGGTAAAAAGGGTGTTTATTCTTTTGTTGTTATTGTTGTTTTGGTTTTTAAAATGAAGACATGCCAGCAAGGATTATTCCATCCATTTATTAAAACTCTGTTTTTGGCTGGAGAAATTATTTAACCCTTTTTTTTTTTCATGACACTACATTTTCTTGTAAATTTTTTACAAATAATTTCAAAACCCAATTTGGATAAGGCAAAACTAGTACAAACATTGCAAATAAAGAAAAGCAATGATAATATTTCTTTGTCTGCTTTCTTTGTGTTGACTGCCAGGTGCCATGAACAGGGGTCATAACAAGGACTGACAGGCAGCTAAGATGGAGGCACCCAGTTACAGGATAAACAGGTGTGGATTTTCTACATTTAATTAAAATTTTACACCTCACTAATACATATATGTTAAATTTAGGGATACGTAAACAAAATAGTAAAACTCCTGGGAAGCGAAGATTCCTCTTTAAAACTAACATATTGACAACTATTTCCAAAGTACTGAGTAAGATTAATGTACAGACACAAGAAACCTAAACATCATAGAGTTATAGACACATAATTAATATATCCACAGATATTGTATACAGGTAATATGCACACACAACATAGTAAGGTAATAATAGGTAATTAAGTTATAAATACTGTAATAATAGTGTATGCATTAGTAATATATATATACATTTAAGTATTGCATATACCGATAAAATATGTATATAGAAGTCCTGTGCATATAGACCACTTATAAATACAGATAATGTATGTACGGGTTGTATTCGCACTGTGACTCCTAGAGTGTAGGATACGCTTTGAAATAATTCAGTCACCTATGTCAACCACACCCACTGTGGACAGGTGTATAAAAGCAGCCACACAATCTCTATTCATAAACACGGCATTGCAGAATATTCAGCATTGCAGAACGTTTAACTTGGCATTAACTTAGGGTGCATTAGATGATACCAGCTATCTCACATGTTTGTAGGCATACTAATCACCTGTCCATGGCGCACTGCCGGCAGTCCTTATACCTACAAACCAAAAAAGGTGAATGATGCTGGATCAGTGCTAACAATTTTCACTTGTCATTAGACTTTGCTAAGTGAAAATGTTGCCCTCACGAGTATAAATGCAGCCCTGGTGAATATGCGATTTAGTGCTCAGATGTGCAGTGGCAGGTAACTTTTTAGATCTTGCTAGTAGCGTATTGCTGGAAGATGCTCTGATACTTTCTTGTCTCACCTGCAGTGGTACCATTTGCATGCACAGGTGCATCTTCTGGCATCACGTTAACCGCATGTGACAGACGTTATGGATGTATTTGTCATTTAGAGTACACAGTCCTTCCATGATCCTCACTGCTTTGTGTGGTGAGTTACAGGTGACACTCGGGTGGCTGTGCTTGTGGTTTGACTTTCCTCACAATTCCTGATATCTGCTGTCCCAGCTCCGGCTAATAGTTGATGCTGGTTTTCCTATATTCTGTCGTTGGCAAGATATTAGAACTTTGCTGTCTGTTCACAGGATCCTTTCCACGGTCTCTTTATTTTAAGGACTGATAATATGTCTTGCTGTGCATTCCTCTATTTTCTACACTTTCCCTGGCTGGTCCAGACATAGGCTCACACTGATGGAATTCCAACCTAAGATCACCATGCACAATGCCATGTATCTGACGGCGTGCGGTAATGCTTATTGCCATTGAGCTCTAGAGTAACAGAAACTTGTTTTCTGGAAACAGATGACTCTAGGTTTGGAGGACGACCAAGGTTTATTCCATGAAATATCCTGGATGATGCAAATACTGATTATATTCTCCAAGAAACACCTGGATACAAGAAAAACCTCGTATTCCTCCTGTAAGAACGCTTTATAGGAAATCAATAAATGTCACGTTGTAATAGGAACATTAGGCACATACACACCTTACCCTTCCTATAAGGGACCTTGAGTAAATGGAGGAGTGACCAGCCAAAGTGAATGGGAAAATACTGCAATCTGAGTGTGGGTGGAGCTAAATGAAGCAGGGATCCAGAACGTACAGGATTCAGGTTACAATGTATTCTTCTGATATCAAGATACAAGAGGTTTCACAATAAATAGGAAGCATACATTGATGCCAGCCTGGTCACTTTGAACAGGACAAGAAATTCAACAAAAGGAAGCGGAGGCTAGACAAGACAAGGATGATGCATTTTCAGAGACCAGTTCAGCATTAGGGGAATAACAGAGCCCAAGCAGAGTTTGTAATCTGAGTAGATCACGTGTTAGACAAATACACATAATCACAGGCAACAAAGAAAATATTAAAGATAATGCTCAAAAACAGCAAATGGAACAAACACTTAAAACGTAATCTATAGGGAAGAAAGAAATTACAATTATTGATATAGCGCCTACATATTCCGCAGCGTTTTACAATAGGTAAACCAAGACAAACACTTCATTCTAATTTAACATGTTTGACATACGGGAACAGTAGGTGAAGAGAGCCCTGCACAAACAAGCTTACAATCTAAAGAACACGTGGAGACACATTGGTGTATGATGTGACAGAATTGGTGGCATTAATGGCGCTAAGGTCCCTCCCTTGACAGATGGGCCCTAACTCAGGCCTTGATTTAATGAGCTTTCCAAATGATGCAATACTGTTAGAAGAACTTTCCAATGTAATTATCTGCAAAAATTCCCATAGACTTTAATTGGTGTCGCTTGTAGATAAATCATTTGGAAGGTTCTCTTAAAGTATTGAATCATTCCAAAAGTTTATTAAACGTAGGCCTCCGTTAGAAAATGAACATCGAGTGGGGAAGGACTGTGTTTTTGCAAAAGCAAAAGGGAGGAGTCAAATAATCTAAGAAGGCCCAGCTAATAGGCAAATGTCAAATTGTCCCAGATGTAAAGCCAAGCAGAAGTGTCTGTGGTGGCACTAAGTACAAGATACTAAGTATCAGTAAACAGCGCCAAGCTTTTTTTCAACCGCGAAATAAAGATCTTGAAATTATAGCGGCAGCGTAAATTATAGCGGTAGCGTAAAAAAACATAAAAGTATTATTCTGAATTTGCTTGTAACAATCAAGATTTCCAGGTGCTTTGTACAAAAGAAAAAGGCTTGCTTTATGGACCGGATTCACATAGCGTCCGTATAATGTTCGTTTAACCCCTTAAGGACCAAACTTCTGGAATAAAAGGGAATCATGACATATCACACATGTCATGTGTCCTTAAGGGGTTAAGAGGAGTAACAAGATGAAAACAAGAGATAAAAAAGGCAAATTAGAAATCCACTGTGGAATGAAATTTAAACTTTTTGACAATAAAATTGGTATTGCATTATTGTTATAAAAATAAAGGTTGTGCTATCATTATAAATGTAAGCCTGGTCTGTATGTGATATACATCTATATCCAGCTAGCTAGTAGAGAGGATTGATCAACAAAAAAAAGTATGGCGGACCAATAGTAACACATTTCCCCAATGCATTTAATTAAATGAAGTTATAAAAATGTGCCTGTCGTTAATAAAACTGAATATGGTAAAAAAAAAAAAAATAGGGAAAACATGTGTGATTTAAAACGACATAATAGTTAAAAATAGCACAAAACAGATTGTAAGTCGTCATGTCTCCATAAATCCAGCATGGTGTTGCAGATTTTGTAATGGCGAAGATCAATTTGCGTAGAAGGAAAAATATAAGGCCATCTCTGCCAGGCTGAGCAGACTTGTGAAATGCCATCAATGTGGGGGCTTGGAAGTAGTGACAATGCAGTGTTTGAACAGAACTGACAGACTGTGCAAAGCTGATATACATCTCTCATAATACAAGACCAACAGAGAATCAAATTACTAATGTTTGAAAATAGAGTAATCCCCATGTCAACCAATGCTTTTGTTGATTAGTACACATAATAACTATTATTCTAGGCAGCACCTTCACAGTAGTAGCGCAGCAGTATGATCATGTAATTTCTTAGCAGCCACTGAGTGAGTCCCAGTTGTCACAATGTCTTGTGCTTAGTCACCAGTCTTCCTGGGGCCCATGTATGTCTCGCTACCCCATGGCCATCACAGCTTCTAGTGTTGTCTTAAGCACCCACTATAAACACTCCTAGCCATACTGTCTTTACCAATAGTCCACCCTGAGATGAGCTGCATGTTACCCGAATTACTTAAACTACAATATAACTGGGACTTATTTTTACACTTGGTGGACAAGACCCCAAATATCAACATACTGGTATCACCAAAACTGCACCCACATACTGGTATCATCAATATTGCACCCCATATATCCACATATTGGTATCACCTAAACTGCACATAAAATGCCAACATTATCTGCACAGCACCCCAATCCTTAGCACCCAGTCATACTTATGTCCCATACACAGCACCCAATCCTTAGCACCTACTCATCCAAACATCACCTACATAGCACCTAATCCTTAGCACCCACTCATACAAACATCACCTACACAGCACCCTATCCTTAGCACCCACTCATACCAACATAACCTACACATCATCCAATCCTTAGCATCCACTCATACTAACATCACATACACAGCACCCAATACTTAGCACCCACCCATACTAACATCACCTACAGAGCACCCAATCATTAACGCCCACTCATACTAACATCACCCTCAGATTAATATACTGCTCCAACTAGTACTTCTCTCCCCACGCCCCTGCACCCCCAGGTTATTCTCACCTGTTGTGAAGGATTCCGGATACACTTCGGTTTGTACTCTCCTGCTTCTGATACTCTCACCTGCTTCTTCTGTTACTCAAATCTCCTTCCTCCTTCACCTTTACTGTATTCAAATCCTGCCTAATTCTCGTCTCCCTCTGTTACTCTCCTATCTGTGTTACTCGTTTTCCTCTGTTACTCTCCTGTCTGCTACTCGTTTTCCCCTGTTACTCTCCTGTCTCTGTTACTCGTTTTCCTGTTACTCTCCTGTCTCTGTTACTCTCCTGTCTGTGTTACTCGTTTTCCTCTGTTACTCTCCTGTCTGTGTTACTCGTTTTCCTCTGTTACTCTCCTGTCTGTGTTACTCGTTTTCCTCTGTTACTCTCCTGTCTCTGTTACGCTCTTCTATTCTCAGTTCTTTAAAGAATTCCTCAGTCCTACCACCTGTTACTTTGCACCTTCACTGCTCCTCTCTGTCCTTTTACTTTAATTATCTTTCCGTCTGTGACCCCTTACTTCATCCTCTCCCCATCTCCCACCAGCCTGTTACTTTGTTATCTCTCTTTCGTCTCTCCGATACTCTGTCCCCAGTCCCTAATACTCTGTCTGATACTTTCTTCAATGGTGTCCCTGCCTCTTCCACTCTCTCCCCGATGCAGCAACTCTGTGCCTCTATCTGTCTGTCACCCTACTTGTACCCTCTATCGGTACCACCTACCTGTACCCCCTATGTCACTGTTTCTGAACCCCCTATCTATATCACAGTACCTGTACCTCCAGTTTGTATCACTCAGCCTGTACCGCTGTCTGCCTGTACCCCCTATCTATGTCACAGTACCTGTTTGTACCACTCACCCTGTACCCCCTGTCTACCTGTGCCCCCAATCTCCTCCTCTGTCTGTGGTCCTACCTGTGTCTGCCTCCTTCCCTTTGTGTTGTAGAAAGGTATGTGATGTGTGATCTCTGGGGGGTGGGGGAGACAGACGGGAGGGGGGCTGAAAGAGGAGGAGGAATGAGGCTAAAAGCCGATTTGGAGTTAAATGCTTAAATGCAAAGCAGTTTGCAAATAGGAAAAGGGGCCAGAAGTCAGTGTGAGGCTCAAATCTGACAGCAGTAGTGAACCATGAAGCTTACAGTCTGTCAGCTAGATTTACAACAAAAGATCACAATTATAATGTCATCATCTGGGATTTAAAGCAGACTCTGCATCTGCAATATTCCTCAATAAATCCAGCGCGCCCCCCCATTCTCCATTAAATATGATAAAATATTAGATATAATAAATACACTTTTTTCTCTATCTAAAATCCAGTGTTTGATGTTACATATTTTCTGTAATATTATGTATTTTGTTTATATAAGCTTAAAAGGAATATATAAGAAGAAAAGTAGTTATACAAAATACTAAAGAAAGTAAAAATAGCAGAATCGAGTAGTTGGTAAAGGAAATATGTTAACTTGTGTACATCATATAATCAGTTTAATATCATCTTTCAAATTGTTACATGTTTATATTACATACATATATTAACAGTACAGGTCTCACACACATAAACATACAATATAGCAAACAAGATATAGTATACACAATGCTCACGCAGACAATATTACAAAATATAAAATACACAATCCTCACACACAAACAATATATTACACAATATAAAATACACAGAATCCTCACAAATAGACAATATAGTACACAATATAGAAATACACACAATGCTCACACATAGACAATATATTCCAAAATATAAATTACACAATACACACATAGACAACATGAAATACACACAATGCGCACACATAGACAATATATTCCACAATATAAAATGCACACAATGCTTACATATAGACAATATATTACAAAATATAAAATACACAATGCTCACACATAGACAATATATTCCACAATATAAAATACACAATGCTCACACAGACAATATATTCCACAATATAAAATACACAATGCTCACATAGACAATATATTCCACAATATAAAATACACAATGCACACATAGACAACATGAAATACACACAATGTGCACACAGAGACAATATATTCCACAATATAAAATACACAATGCTCACATAGACAATATATTCCACAATATAAAATACACAATGCACACATAGACAACATGAAATACACACAATGTGCACACAGAGACAATATATTCCACAATATAAAATACACAATGCTCACATAGACAATATATTCCACAATATAAAATACACAATGCACACATAGACAACATGAAATACACACAATGTGCACACAGAGACAATATATTCCACAATATAAAATACACAATGCTCACATAGACAATATATCCACAATATAAAATACACAATGCACACATAGACAACATGAAATACACACAATGTGCACACAGAGACAATATATTCCACAATATAAAATACACAATGCTCACATAGACAATATATTCCACAATATAAAATACACAATGCTCACACAGACAATATATTCCACAATATAAAATACACAATGCTCACATAGACAACATGAAATACACACAATGTGCACACAGAGACAATATATTCCACAATATAAAATACACAATGCTCACATAGACAATATATTCCACAATATAAAATACACAATGCACACATAGACAACATGAAATACACACAATGTGCACACAGAGACAATATATTCCACAATATAAAATACACACAAGGCTCACACAGACAATATATAACACAATATAAAATACACATAATGCTCACACATGGACAATATATTCCACAATATAAAATACACACAAGGCTCACACATGGACAATATATTCCACAATATAAAATACACAATGCTCACACAGATTATATATTCCACAATATAAAATACACACAATGCTTACACATAGACAATATATTCCACAATCTAAAATACACACAAGGCTCACACATGGACAATATATTACACAATCTAAAATACACACAATGCTCACACAGAAAATATATTCCACATATATACACACAATGCTCACGCATGGACAATATATTACACAATATAAAATACACACAATGCTCACACAGACAATATATTACACAACCTAAAATACACACAATGCTCACACTTAGTTAATATATTACACAATATAAAATACACAGTGCTCATACAAAGACAATATATTACACAATATAGGATAGGAAGTGCCCACACATAACAGTGTATAAAGTACACACAGCACAAAACACAAAGATAAAGCAGCACACAAGATAATGTACACATAGTGCCACCGCTCACACACAGTGTGTATTTGTCTGTGTGTGTGTATATGTATCTGTCTATCAAGGTGTGTATATCTGTGTTTGTATGTGTCTGTGTATCAAGGTGTGTATGAATCTGACACACATATACACACACTGACAGATAGTGGCACACAGATAAACACACCTTGACACACAGTGTGTATGTATGTATCTGTGTTTCAAGGTGTGTGTATCTGTGCAGATGCACACACTGACACACACACACACTCTTTGACATACACTCTCACTGACAAACACACACTCTTTGACAGACACACATACAAACACACATATACACTCTCATTGACAAAAACAGATACATTCTCACTGACAAACACATACAAACTCCCTAAAAGACACATACCATTTAAAAACATTTTTTTAAACCTTTTACTCCACCCAGCCCCCCTACCTTTAGGAGTGCTGGTATGGAGTCCCTGGGGCTGCTGGGTGGCTGGAGAGCAGTCCCTGGGGGTCCAGTGGGGCTGCTGGGTGGCTGGAGAGCAGTCTCTGTGGGTCCAGTGGGGCTGCTGAGGGGCTGGCATGCAGGTGGCGAGGGAGCAGTGATCTCCCTGCTCCGCTCCCTCGCGCGCCTCTTAGTTTTGCTGGAGCCGGAGTGACATCATATTCCGGCTCTGGCATCACTGCTGTGTACGCAAGGGAGCTGAGCAGGGAGATCACTGCTCACTGCTCCCTCGCCGTCCGCGGCCATTTTATTTTCCGTTTTGTTTGGCGGAACACCAATTGGGAAACGCTGACATATATAATGTACATTTAAGGCCCAAACAGAAACGATATAAAATCCAATATAAAGTACACACATTACTCACAGACAGAAAATATAACACACAATATAAAGAACATACAGTGCTCGCAACCTATCAAATTATGCGCACAATATAATGCACTTTGTAAGCTATACACAGAGGCACAGACAATGCAGTATAAAATACACACAAACTCACACACAATATAAAGTACGCATGATTCTCACAAGCACATGACAATGAAGTATGCTAGGAGCATGTCAAGGTTAGACGCCCTAACTCGCAAACAATGAGGCAAGCTTAATCTTACACAATACCAGTCTTAGAGTGTCCGGGTCTTAGAGTGGCTGGACTTAATGTAATAATATAAGGTATATATGAGGTCTGTACAGAATGTATTCAGCCATGCAACATGAAAAATAAAGACATTTATTGACGAAGATACAAGAAACATTGTACATAGGACAATGACGCCTCAAAGTAGGCACCTTGGGACCTCACACAGTTCTCCCAGCGTCTCTTCCACTGTTTAAAACATTTAGCGAAATCCTTTGTTGGAATCTCCATCAGTTGCCTCGTCATATTTACCTGAATGTCATTAATCACTCTTAATCATCTGAATAGTTTCTGCAGAGGAATGTACAAGCTTAAATTTGGTGCAGATTTGTTGCTGTATTCATTCAGTAATTTTGAATGTGACGACCACACAGTACACATGCTCACTCAATGGCATCTAGCAACCCCACTGACTAGTACAATAAAGTGGTCATTGTTCACACATGTGCATACTAGTCCACTCTACTTCGCTACCAGGTTACATTGATGTCGCGCAAACCGTTCTCGTTATATTAACAATGGCTGGACTTTTTCTGGACAGACCTTGTATAATAGTCAAATAAAAGCCAAGGTCAGGATCGGAGACAGACGGATAAATGAGTATAACAGAGCCAAGGGTCAGGGATATCAGAATACAGGATAAACGGTGAAACAAAGTCAGTTACCAGTATACCAAGACAAATATGAATGTACTCTTGGGCTTGCAAACACCATGACAGGAATTATTAATAGGCCCCTGTGGCCTCTGATTGATTCAAGTTACGTTTTGCTCCAAAACAAATGAGACCCACGTTGTGTGGGTAGAGAGTACTGGCAGGGCGCCCACACAAGATGCGGGCTAGCATAAAGGGAGGCAGAGGCGGAGAGATCCGCATCATTGCCGACATCGGAACAACGTCTGATGTCATCGAATCCGGCATAGGGTTGCTGGATTGGAAGAGAGTGCCCAGGACTGTCGGGGAATGTCCAGAATGCTGATCTGGTATGACAGAGCACAATGACAGTCTATGTAAATTACCTCATCTAAGCACATAAGTCATATATTCACTAAAGTATGGATTAAAAACTGGTTTGTAAAATTAACCAAAACTTGCTGATTTAGAAAATTCTCCAACTTAACTATAGTCACAATCTGACTTTTTTAGCCTGAATCTTGCAGCTGGTATTTTAGGTCTCCACCATTGGCAGTTTAAGGTCTATATTCCATAGCAGATTACACAGGGGCCCAAGTATATACAGCAGAGCTATATTTGCCAGTATCAGGAATAATGACAGACTGTCCTTATAGGGGCTGTTATAATGGCCTGTATTAGCACTAATTCCCCAGCTGTCCGCACATTTCCCATTCACAACAAACCAGTATCATTAAAGTTCTGATTGTAATGTTTCAGTTAAAAATGTCTGATTAATGGGAGATGATTTTTAGAAATATGTGAATAATGGAGATATTTATTGGCTGGGTTCTGTTATTCAGTATAATAGGAACGTGAGACTGGTTAGTGGAGTCAGACGCGTTGCTGTGTTTTCTGCTTTCTGATTTTAGCTTCTAGTAAATCCTCTTGAGCTGCATCTGTTGAACCTGCTGTTATCCTGAGCAAAGCAGATAATACTCCATAACCCCCGCACTGCCCTGCCTTACCTCTTCTGGCACTGCCCTACCTCTCCTGGCACTGCCAGACCTTACCTGTTACTGCCCTACCTCTCCTGGCACAATCTGCTATACTTCTCCTGGCATTGTCCCTACCTCTCATGGCACTGACATACTTTGCTTGGCACAATTTCCCCTACCTCTGCAGGTACTGCCCTACCGCCCTGGTACAATCTGTCCTACCTTGCCTAGAAATGGATTGGCACCACCCTACCTTTTACTGTTTGTGCCTGAACTCTCCTGGGAGTGCTGTGCCCATAACTCCTCGGCAATGCTATGCCTTACCTCCTGTGGCATTTCACTCTATTGGCACTACCCTACCTTTCCTGGTATTGCCCTAACTCTCCTGGCAATGACCTTCTCCTGGCACTACCACCTCTCATTGGAATGCCTTAACTCTCACTGTACTACCTCTGCTGGCATTTACTGTTGTGGCATTGCCCTCCCACTATGGCTACCATTCTATCTGTCCTGGCACTGTCATTATCTCTCCAGGTATAGCTCTACCTCTTGGGCCCCCCCAGGGATGTCTTTTATCTGTGGCCCCCACCCACCTAATCATATTTGTAATGTATCTCACTTGCCTAGGAAATTATTTTCAATAATAACAAATAATAGAGATGACATGGAATGCCAATGTTGGTTAAAAAAAAGACATAATTTAATGGCCAGTATTACATATATCCTGTGTGCTGTCACCCATCTCATGCCAACTACACAATGACCCCCATATAGACTACAAGTGAGCTGTGAGACATCCAGGCATAGACAGACATTTGAGCAATGAGACCGCATGGAGAGAACAAACACATACATAGAAAGCTATTGAGTCAAAACAGTAAGCAGAGACAGCCACAAGGATATAACATATAGGTGAAGCAGTCTTGCGCAATGGGCGTGTTTTTAGACAGTCTGGGATTAGTTTAGACCAGTGGTTCCCAACCCAGTCCTCAAGTACCCAGTTGTGTCTAAGAGGTTTTAGAAAAATTAAAAAACACTTTAGACACAACTAACAACTAATTTACAGGGTAATCCCTAAATCCTGGACTGGTAGGGGGTACTTGAGGACTGAGTTAGGAACCCCCCGTTTTTACAATCAGGGATTGAGAGGGTGACAGTCACACTGTGGGCTGGCAGTTGTCAAACAGTGGATGCAGACTTAGATAACTTGGGGACAGAGGTGACATCGAAAAAGGGGGTAGAGTCAGGCATAAATGGGGACAGTGGGAGTAATGTCTCAAATTAACAAAAACTACCGGGTAAGGTCAGGCCAGACCAGTTTGGGGACAGAGATCACAATGAACAGCAATGACAAGTCAAAGTGTGACATTTGGAGTGCAACAAAGTAAACATGTGATAGTTATCTGGCAGGGATGACAGTTCGATGTAATGGTTGACAGTCAGGTGACAGAGCAGATGGTCAAGAGAAATGAGCGACAGAGCACAAATTGATGACATACATAGTAAAGGTGACAGTCAAATGTGGGGGGCAGGGGGAGTTGCAGGTAGAGGGCCTATTGTAATCAAGAAGTGAGAATGTCAGGGGAAAAAACTGAATATCAGAAGTGAGGAGAGACCATTAAAAGAAAGATTAGACAGTAACAGGAAAGGTTAGTCAATTGCAGAGTAGACAGTCAGAAGAAGAGTTTAGATATCAGAAGTGAGTTTAAACAGTGAGGGAAGGGGGAAACCGTGACAAGGATATACGCTAGTGCACAGACATTCAGAGCGCTCCACTTGCTCTAATTTGATTAAACAAACCTGAAAAATTTTATTAACAAATTAGTTAAAAGGAACAATATTAACTCCCTCGCACCAGACAAATTGTAATCTCAGAAACTGCATACTCTTACGTATAACTACCTTCTCTCTATGCTTGCCAGGTCTCCATCAGAATACAGAATTCATTAGTGTCCTCCAACATATTTCAATCTGGCATCCATGCCAGCTTACATTTTGTGATGTCACCCAGAGAAGAGGGGTACATCCTGGTTGGGCAACACTCTCACACAGTGCCATCGGAATACAGAATTCATTAGTGTACTCCAACATGTTTCAGTTTGGCGTCTATACCAGATAACATATTGTGATTTCACCCAGAGAAGAGAGGTACATCCTGGTCGGCAGTTGTGGTGTTCTCACATTCTTTGTTACATCACAATATTCTGCCTATGGCTAGACCTCAATTTATTACCTTAAAGGTTCTTTAAGCTAGGCTCAATGACAAGAGTAAGAAAGGCATTGTTAGATGGATCAGGAAAGAAAAGGATTGGAAACCCCCCTGTGCCGACTGATATCCAATAAACTAAAATAAAAAATCTAAAAAAGTAAAAGAAAACACGGTTCCAGCTCAGTGAGGAGTTTATGAGTGCACGCCTGCAAAGTAAGTTTCAAACAAAATATAATACAGAAAATGGCTCTCAAATATCAGATATATTGGCTGACTGGCCAATAAATTACAATTCACTGGTGGGTTCTCAACAACTCCCAGTTAAATGACTAAACCCATGTTTCCAATTGAACTTGTACTTTCTGTTTCTCATAGACGTTTCTTACTGTCTCTCAGTCTGTCTCGTACACTGTCAGTCAGCGCCTTTCTCTCAGATTCTCTCCATATAAGGGAATCTCTCTAAGCCCCCTCTGGGTATTTACTAAGCGGTGTATTTGGAGATTTTGGCAGATGCAGAATATTAATTCACCTTCTACCCTCCAGCCACAGAGAGGAAACACAAGGTTTTATTATAAAAATTACACATATTAACACATCCCGTGCCAGTGACCAGCACATTAACCTTTAATCAAAACCAAAATGTCCATGTCCTGCTGCGTATCTGCAGAGCATCACATAATTCTTCTCTTCTGTACTTGAGATCTGCAGATCATTGCACCAATATGTAGCAGCTAGATTTCTGCAAGGTAAAGTCACATTAACCCTTCCCTCCCCAGGCAGTCTCTGAGCTGTCTCTATAGCTCATCTTCGAATTTTCTGTTCACTCTCTTTTTCTGTCTCCGCCCAGAAGGTCTCTCCGGCTCTTCCTTGCTGGCAAAGGTCTCTCGCCCTGAAGTTTCTCTCCCAGTGTTTTTGGTCTCACTCTCTTTATTTTGTTTGTGGCCGTCACTTCCCACCATGAGATCACTCGCCAGAGAGCGCTCCTATCACATGTACAACACGAATTTAGAAAATTAATGACAAATGCAGACAGGAATTAAGCACTCATAAAGTTGGGCATTCCTATAGAGAGGGTTCAAGGAGCAGACCAGAGTCAGGGGGGATTGGAAAGAAGACAGGCACACATACAGGGGTCGGGAGCCCAGGCAGATAGACAAGTGTCAGGGTAACAGATAAGGGTCTGGTGCCCAGGCACAAGCACAAGGGTCAAGATAACATACATTTTGGGGGCCCAGGCACACAGACAGGAGTCAGGGGCCCAGGCACACAGACAGGGGTCCGGTTAACAGATAAGGGTAGAGGCCCATTCACACACACAGGGGTCAGGGTAACAGATAAGGGTCAGGGGCCCAGGCACACAGACAGGAGTCAGAGTAACAAATGAGGGTCAGGGGCCTAGGCACACAGACAGGGATCAGGGGCCCAGGCACACAGACAGGGGTCCGGGTAACAGATAAGGGTAGAGGCCCATTCACACACACAGGGGTCAGGGTAACAGATAAGGGTCAGGGGCCCAGGCACACAGACAGGAGTCAGGGTAACAAATAAGGGTCAGGGGCCTAGGCACACAGACAGGGATCAGGGGCCCATGCACACAGACAGGAGTCAGAGAACGGCACAAAGGTTTGGGTCAGACAAATGGTGCTACCTAGAGGCGGCTCTCTAATTAGGCGATTTAGGCGGCGGCCCCACAACCCCATCTCATTCACCCCCTCATCCAGTCAAACTCACCCTGCCACAGACTCCCCTTTTCACCCTGTCACAGTCACCCTTGAAGACAATCATCATACATATAAAGTTATAAAACATAGCTTCACCATAGACAAAGTGCACAAAGGCCACAGGCTGCTCCCCATATACACAAAACACAGCAAGCAGCTACCACACACACACACATACGGTTCCAGACACAAACATACACATGCTCACAGAAACATACATTCACATACAAGGATAATCACTGTCAGGCACATACACAGGCAGACAATGCCAGACACATGCAGAAATACACACAGTCCGATAAACACATTGTGACAGTATGTCTATTTTAGTGTCTCTGTGCATCAGTGTGTTTGTGTGTGTGTATGCATGTGCATGTATCAGTGTGTATATGTATTAGTGTTTAAATGTGTGCGTGTCTGTCTGCAATGTGGTTGTGGTATGATATGGGCAATGCAAAGATAAAGTTGCAAGCAACATATATATTATATGCATACATACATATAGAATACATGGGTAAACACATAAATGATAATATACATGTAAAGGAATTTAGAATATGTGGGGAAATGTCTATGACATTGTTTTCTTATCTGTAACTTAATTATTTGGAAAATTATTATTTATTTTTTTTTTATTTATTTATTTTTAAATCCCAACCAAAATGTTCATTTTTCAAATAACCCCTTCACACTGGCACTTATGTCTACATGGCTGCCAGGCTATACAACCATACCCAGCAATCGTGTATAAATGATTAGCATAATTGCAAATTAAATTTGTTTATTGCAAATTATGCCATAACTACAGTCAAAGTGCTCACAACGCAGCGGCATAGGGAGCTGCGACAATGCAAGCCTCTGAAGATGAATACAGAGACTACCTCTCTGTATCCAATGCTGCAAGCTCGTCATTCAATATAGGTACAACTCCTTATGCACACACAAGGCAACCCCTTTTTTTTTCACTAATGGTGTTAGTGGGGGGGGCCCCATGTTTGAGTTTCGCCTAAGGCTTCGCAAAGTCTAGAGCCGCCCCTGGTGCTACCACTCTGTAAATGTTACCTGCTCTGCATGCACTGCAGATTTGGTGAACCATAGGGCTATGGCACATCGAGTTCCCTGAGTCACTGCACGTACCCCGTGGGCATTCTCACCTCCGGCACCAAACAGAACTAAACGGCCACAGCTGGGACGAATTTCCGCCTGTTTTACAGAAAAAAATTATAAGTGCAATTATAGATAAAATTAAGCTTATTAATTTATTAGTACCTCCAAGAAATTCAATACATACATACAATATATACACCAAGACTGAATACAGTCACAGACTGGTGAACACATTCACACACCGACTGCTGAACACATACACACAGCCTGGTAAATAGAGAAAAATAAGGAGCAAGAGTGGTGAGAATGGACAACAGCTCAATTAGCCTGCCCTTCAGTGGGTCCCCGCTCCGATCTCAAGCTAGTTTTAGCTCATCTTGTGCCATTACAGAGAGAACATATCTGAAGCATATCAGACTAGTCCCACCTGTACGGGCAGTTCAGATCCGAAACGCCAGCAATTCCCTCTGCATGAGAGATACGGCAACCCCAGGCGATCGTTTCAACCTTGTAAGGTATCATCAGTGAGGTATAGCCAATATCCCTCTAGGCACCGTGAGCAAGGGGTCCACATCTGGATTGCCCTTTAAACTTAAGGATAAAAAAATAAGTAGCAAGAGAGGTGAGAACAGACAACAGCTCAATTAACCTGCCCTTCAGTTGGTTCCCACTCAGATCTCAAGCTGGTTTTAGCTCAACTTGTGCCATTATAGAGAGTACATATCTGAAGCATATCAGACTGGTCCCCCCCCGTACGGGCATTCCAGATCCAAAATGCCAGCAAGTTCCCTCTGCATTAGAGACTGCTAAATACACTCACATAGACTGCTCAATACATACAGACTGCTGAATGTACACACACACACAGGCAGACTGCTGAGTACACACACACAGGCAGACTGCTGAATGTACACACACACACAGGCAGACTGCTGAATGTACACACACACACAGACTGCTGAGTACACACACACACACAGGCAGACTGCTGAGTACACACACACACAGGCAGACTGCTGAGTGTACACACAGACTGCTGAGTACACACACACACAGACTGCTGAGTACATACACAGAGACTGCTGAGTACACACACACAGACTGCTGAGTACATACACACAGACTGCTGAGTACATACACACAGACTGCTGAGTACACACAGTGTCCGCTGAATACCCACACATCTGAATACACACAGTCCACTGAATACACACACACATACTGCATTGAGGGGTGAGTGTATGTGTTTGTGTGTACAGGTGCTGAGTGTGTGTGTGCGTGAGAGGTGCTGTGTGTGTGTGTGTGTGTGTGAGGAGTGCTGTGTGTGAAGAGTGATGTATGTGTGGGAGGGGGCTGTGTGTGTGAGTAGTGCTGTGTGTGTGTGTGTTGCAGAGTTGGAGGGGTGCAAGTAGCAAATGTGTGTTGTTTTTTTAATACTGCTATACATTAATAAAGTCTTTATCCTCCCCTCCCTCCTCCTTACCTTTGGTGAAGGGGGTGTTATGGGCAAATGCAAATATTACAAGTTTTAGAATGAAATGTTGTATTTCTTAAACTTTGTACTTTGTCTTTAAGAGATATTGCAAACTGGCAAGGTGTTAGAAATGGAACATATTGTTAATCATAACCGTTTCTTTAAGCAATAACCTCAGTGCATATTATGTTTACGCCATTTTGTCCCAGACGAATTACAATAACAATAATGCATAAACAAGCTTCAAGGCTATACTACGACTCTTTCAGTACGTAATATACTGTGGTAACCTTAGTAGATAAGGATGTTCAGACTTTAAGATGCCATCTTGAACTAAGTCAGGGAAATTTCCATGACGTATGCACCCTTTAGTTATGGACTTGTATTTTTGCCAAGTTAAGGGAGGTCCTAAAATGAATAAAGTAAAAGCAGTGTTACTTTTTCATATATGAACTACGGTAACCCTAAAATGGAGACACCTAAGGTATAAATAGGTGTACTTTTAAATGTTAAGACACAGAGGAGAGACTTGGAGACAGATGCTGCTCCATCTTAAAATGACAGGGAGGCTGACATGTTCAGAAGGGTATGTTAACCTATTAATGATATTTGCAAGTATTTAGTTTAATCTTATAAACTCTGCTATAATGGATTTTATATGTCTATATTTATATTTTTATATAATAAATATCAAAAAGACAAAATGTTATTGCTTCCAAGACAATCCCTATTTTATATTGTATTCTCAATTATTTATATATGTTAAATAGAGGATCTCTTACACTAACTATATGAAATTTTGGCTAAGATATCTGTATGGTTAGCCCTACTAAGTTCTATGCCTTAAGACGTTATAGTGGTAAATAAGGGAACCAGCCACGGTTACAATTGGCGACCACGAAGGGACATTGTATTTGGAAGCTTTAATTATAAAATAATAAATACCTAGGTAACCTCTTATACGTAAGAGAAGACAATACTTTGTCATGGCACAAGTCTTGAAATATCAAAAATCTATTGAGCTATTTGTAGCCTAGACTCAGAGAGAGATCTTCATAATTAGAGATGATTTTAATGTGAACTTGTACAACTGAGTTCAGGTGCCAGGAACATCGTAATTAGCATACAATGCTGAAATTGTGGATCTTAATATCATAAGAGAACAAATATACATATTTGGTAAACTCCCTAATATGCCTAATACACCAGCACAGCATGGCCCATTAGTTCCAGGACAGTGGATTGCAGGCAGGGGGTATGTTCTCTTTGTAGCTGCTTAGTATGCATGCGCAGGAAAAAGATTAATGCAAGATGTTGTCAAAAGAAAAGTGATAAGACAGGATTTTTAATTATTGCATTACTGCGTTCTGGATTCTAATGTCCACTATATATGAAAAGTTTTATAAAACAGTGATAATTTCCATATTGTCAGTTACACTAGCTGTTGATTAAAAAAATCAGGAATTATAACAGCATAACTATTGTTGGAGTCTGGAGTTTCCAGCCAAGGTTGTGAAGATAGAGACATGTAAACATTCCAAGGAATTGAGAAGTCGTTGTTTTATATTCCAAATTATGAACAACATTATTACATACAGCCATAAAGAGAAAGACATGGCTTTTAAATACATTCAGTGCAGTACAATGCAGTACACTGCAGCAAAAAGTTTATATAATATATGCTAACTAGCTCATATTTTTTCTAAACAGAGTTGAAATTATACTACCCTCCTAGAAAAAAGGGCAACAGGTGGCTATACATCCTTTGCTTCTCTAAATGCTCTGCAAAAATAAATATTTATAAAATGATTAAAAATAATATATATGTAAGATCAATCAGGGCAAAATAAACTTTTAAATATATAGGATCTCTGATAACTTTTAAACTGAAATTATTAAAGGCTTATTTAAATAAAATGTTAAATACATTTACAGCTTTAAATGTGACCAAAAGATACTAAATGATGTGTTAAGCAGCCAGCCCAATTCACTAGAATAGCATAAGTATTCTACTATTTAAAGTGCACAATTCCTGCACATAATGACTTTGCTTACTCAGGTACAGTCTTTAGTCTATTGCAATGGCAGGATACCAATTTTAAAAGGGAAAGCTTACTTAAATCAGTAGTACTATCCAGGGCCGGACTGGGAAAAAAATTAGGCCCGGGCATTTTTCAATCAGAGCGGCCCCCTAAGAAGGGGGCGGGGCCAGAGAGTCACTAATGACAACACGCCCACTCTCAAAGTGAGCATGTTGGTGCAATGCCCAGAGCCCTGCTGAAGAGCTCTGGCATTAGAAAAAGGCCCTGAATTTGTTCTGTGCAGTGCAAGCAAATTTAATAACATGCTTGCGCTGTGTTTGCTTTTAAATTGTCTCTGGTGTCTCCACAAGTGGGATACCAGAGGACAAAAGGGCCAGGAAAGTGCATGGTGCATGTGTTTGGAGCCTGCTTGTGGGATTGCGTGTGTGTAGAGTGTGGTGTGGTATTGTATAAATAGGTCAATTTAATTTGTGTTTGTGGTGTAATATGTATGGCTAGGGGCTGTAGAGAGTGTGTGTATAGGGGGCATAGTTTTATAGGGGATGCAGCGAGTGTGTGCATACGGGCTGAAGTGTGTGTGTATAGGTGACGTAGTGTGTGTAGGGGTTGCAGAGAGGGTGTGTTTAGAGAATGTTGTATGTGTTTGCTGACAAGGAATGTAGTGTGTGTGTGTAGGAGATCTACTGTGTAAATAACCCAGTGTGTGTGTGTGTGTGTGTGTGTGTGTGTGTGTGTGTGTGTGTAGAGGATTAAGAGTGCATATAGGGTAAGGGATCTAGTGTGTATCTGGAGCGTAATGTGTGTAGTGGTGTAGTGTGAGGGGTGCGTATGTATATATATATATTTGGACTTATTGTATGTGTGAGGGGCGCAGTGTGTGTATGTAAGAGGGGTGCTGTGTGTGAGGGTGTTTTTATCTGCTGTCACATTCTAGGTTTCTAATTGTCTGTTAACTCACTGAGGGTTATTTTATATATATATATATATATATATATATATATGTGTGTGCTGTATATGTGTGGGAGTGTGCTATGTGTGTGAGTGAGGGTGCTGTGTGTGTCTGGGTGCTGTGTGTCTGGGGGGTGCTGTGTGTCTGGGTGCGCTGTGTGTCTGGGTGCGCTGTGTGTGTCTGGGGGTGCAGTGTGTGTCTGGGTGCAGTGTGTGTCTGGGTGCAGTGTGTGTGTCTGGGTGCAGTGTGTGTCTGGGTGCTGGCCTGTGTGTGTCTGGGTGCTGTGTGTGTCTGGGTGCTGTGTGTGTGTCTGGGTGCTGTGTGTGTGTCTGTGTGGGTTACTTTGTGTGTGTCTAGGGGTGCGTGTCTGGGGGTGCTGTGTCTGGGTCTGTGTGCAAGGGGTTGCTGTGTGTGTGTCTGGGGGTGCTGTGTGTGTGTCTGGGGGTGCTGTGTGTGTGTCTGGGGGTGCTGTGTGTGTCTGCTGTGTGTGTGCCTGGGGGTGCTGTGTGTGTCTGCTGTGTGTGTGTCTGCTGTGTGTGTGTCTGCTGTGTGTGTCTGGGGTGCAGTGTGTGTCTGGGGGTGCAGTGTGTGTCTGGGTGCAGTGTGTGTGTCTGGGTGCAGTGTGTGTGTCTGGGTGCTGTGTGTGTGTCTGGGGGGTGCTGTGTGTGTCTGGGGGGTGCTGTGCTGTGTGTGTCTGGGGGCTGTGTCTGGGGGGTGCTGGGGGTGTGAGTGAATGTATTTTTTATGTAAATTTAAATATTTTTTTTTACTAATAAAAAAAATATATATATATTTCCCCCCTCCCTTCTTACCTTTATCGTGGGAGGGGGGAGGAGGAGATCCGTTCTGCCTGGGGGGTGGGGAGCCATGCTGCCTTCCCTGGTGGTCCAGTGGTGAGAGTGAACTCTAACCTGCAGGAACTCTCGCGAGATCTGAGCGTTGGCGCGGCAACGCTCAGAATCCCGCGAGAGGACCGGCGGAGCTGCTTGTTAGAGCTCCGCCGGGTCCTCCTTCCCTCCCTCCCTCACCCAGCCAGCGGCCGCATCTCCCTGCCTGTGGGCCGGTGAGGGAGATCTTTGATCTCCCCACCGGCCCATGGAGGCACTATGCAGGGCTGGCGCTCAGATAGCGCTGGCCCTGCAGGGGCCGGCCGGGGAGATCCCCTGCCGGCCTCGGCCCCACGGCCATCGCGGCCCACCGGGCATTTGCCCGGTATGCCCGATGGCCAGTCCGGGCCTGGTACTATCCCACTGTACTTGTAGTGCTAGCAGTAAGGAAATTAGAACAATGATATTGTACTACTGACTGTAATCAGATCAGACACATGTAATCTCAGTGAATTTCATAAACTAGGTTTTCATAAAATATAAAATTTAATTTCAAAGTTGTTTATATATAAATATATCAATGTTGTTTATAAATAAATTTATATAGACTAGGCAATAAGAGCATTTACATGCATTCGGCAGCCTGCTCTCTCACAGCCAGAAACGGATTTATAAAAAAAATTAAAAAGAAAAGTAGGTTTTAAAAAGTCCACAGTCAACCACACATGATGAGTGAAATATTTGCTTCTTTAAAAGCTATATGCTGCCGCAATTATGTATATAAATACAGATTAGGGCACAGCGTAGAAATAAAAATACAGTTTTAAATCTCATATATGGGGATTCAGTTCCACCACATATTCTACAATTCTGAAAGAGGCCAATTTTAATAATAATAATAATAATAATAATATGTTGTAAGAGCATTGTGAATATATATATATGCTGCAAAATTAATTTGATATTGCAAAGCCTGCAATATTCTAAACAGACATTAAAAATTAAGAAAAAAAGAAAAATAATAATGCATAAAGAATAATGTATAAAAAAAAATGCAGTGTCAAAGGATAACGTTTTGATATATTAAATCACATTGCATATCACATATCTGCTATATGAAAAGTATAATTAAAGTGACATTACTGTCCAAAGCATCTATTTTATAGAATCTATACTTTTCTGTGGTCCCCTCCAAAGGGGCCTCTGAAACTGGGGGGCTAAGAGGGGTGCTCATCCTAAAAGGAATCAGATTTTATGCTTAAATTTAAAAAAAATAAAAAAAAATTAAAAAAATTATAATAATAGAAGAGGTATTGTGGGGACATCCAGAACATGCATTTTTGTATATAATCTTAATTTGCAGATATTTTATGCCTTAAAGACATATAAAGGATATTAAATTAAATATGCAGGTATCTTTAAAAATTAAGAATTGTTAAAATAAATAAATAAATAATAATAAAATGTATTTTTTTTTTTTTTACAATATAAACAGTGACAATATAAACAGCTTTGTTAAACAGATTAAGTACAAGTACTTATGTCAAGAAATATACAGAATCCATTTACAACAGGCAGGTTTAGCATAAATGCAAAGTTGTTGTTTTTTGGGGGATTTATTATTGCCCAAGAAATCTCTGAACATATTCAGAATTTTTGAGAGCAGCAAGTATAGATAGCAGATTGCAATGGACACCATTAAAATATTGCTTTGCCGATTGAGGTCAGAGTTTTAAAGAATAAATAAATATTCTATAGCTCACTAGAATACTGGCTTTTAATGAACAGTTGGCACAACACTTATAAATAGTTTGTTATACTGCACATTATAGCTGTGACAAAATAATACACAGGGTAAAAATGCTATTTCACTGTTTAATATACTTACCCAGTATTTAAGGACGACATGTTTCTTGCAAAGTAATCGGGACTTTGAGGGAGGTTCCCCCCTGCAAGTGAGTTTTCAGCGCAAGGTCATTTTGTGTTCACAAACTATTCAGTTTTTAAGAAAGCTGTTCTTTATCTCACATTATGAACGGCCTTGTAATTCCTATCCACACTAAAAGTTGGCTTTTAAATGTTATTGTTTTAACTTTAATATTTCATAGTTAATACAGAGGATAAAGTAATTTAAAGAAAATATATTGAAAGTATATTAATTGATAGGATTTCATTTATATATTTTGGTCCACTCTTCACTGATCTCGAATCTCAGTCTGGTGTTCAAATCGTTTTTCTTACGATACGTCATGAGTTTATATCCACAACTACATATTGCTTTGTGGAAACAAATTGAAAGCCTGGCATTGTAATACGCAGGGCCGGTGCAAAGAATTTTGGGTACATAGGCGAAGATGCATTTTTCCACCACCGCAAAAACATCTTCACCCATGTGCCTCTTAACCTCCCTTTTGTGTTTCTTATCCCGTCTTTTAAATATCTGACTCCCTTTAGTGTATTTTATCTCCTATTTTTGCTTTTGTGTGTCTCCTATCTCTCCTCTTTGTAAGACTCTTACATCCTCCCACATTTTGTGTCTTACTCCTCCCAGCCCCTTTGTGTGACTCCTTTTCTCCCAGCCCCTTTGTGTCTTTTATTCTTCCCAGCTCCTTTGTGTATGTCTCTTTCCTTCTCAAGCCCCGCTGTGTGTTTCTTTCACATCCAGCCCCTCTCCCCGTCCCTTAATGGTCCCCTCCCTTCTCTGACTCTTACTGTTCCTCTCCCCTCTCTCCTCCTTTACCTGTTCCTCAGTGTTCCTTTCCCTTCCCCCCTCCTTTCCCTGTCCCTTAGTGTTCCTCTCCCCTCCCTCCTCTGTTCCCTGTCGCTTAGTGTTCCTCTCCCTCCCTCCTTTTCCTGTACCTTAGGGTATCTCTCCCCTCCTCTCCCTGTCCCTTGGTGCGCCACCCACCCCCATAGTGGATCCCCTCCCCTTCCTGGTGTGCCTCCTACCTTTCTTGTAGCGTGGCTGAGCGGAGCGAATCCTGGTACAGTGAGCTTTTCCTGTCAGTCCTGCCAGGTACAGGAAACAGAGGTTTCTGTACCACGGTACACTCCGCTTGGCCACGCTACAGTCAGGGGTGTATAAACACTGACAGTCACACACGCTCAATGACAAACACACAGACATCTCTGACAGCCAAACTCACTTATCTGACACACTCATTCATTGACAGACACTCACACGCACACTGACAGACTCATTGACAAACACACACTGACACACACACACAAACTCACAGACACACGTACTCACATGCACACACGCACATACTGACAGACACACTCACTCACACACACACTGACAGACATACTCACTCACACACACACACACTGACAGAACCACACACACACACACAAACTCACACACACACATATACTCACATGCACACACACACACAGTAATTAATAATCTAAATTAAATTAAAATTTCCCACCCAGCCTCCCTACCTGGAGAGCTGGCGTGGGTATCTCATTGGTGGTCCAGTGGGGCTGCTGGGAGGCGTGCGGCTGAATTGGATGCCGAGGTGGCGAGGGAGCTCTGATCTCTCTGATCTGCTCCCTCGCAGGCTGTTTACTGATGCCGCGGGAGCCGGAATATGACGTAATCAGTAAACAGCCTGCGAGGGAGCAGATCAGAGAGATCAGAGCTCCCTCGCCACCTCTGAATCCAATTCAGCCGCACGCCGCGCCGGGGATCCAGGAGGTGACCTGGCAGGAGGGAGCACTTCCCTCCTGCCGGTCACTGGAATGTTGCACCCCCAGAGCCGACGCGCCGGCCCTGGTAATACGTGTATGGACATGCTTATAACAAAGCTTGGTCCCTCTCCTCATATAGTTGGTCGTTAACAGGCACTTTGATGCAATGTGTCTACCAACGCTTTTCTGTGGTCACTGGATCACAAAAGCATACCCTATCTCTCAGTCATGATGCAGAGTTTATGCTTGCAAGGATATCTAGAAATAATCCACATGGTATCTGCATAAATACTCCTATCGTTTAGAGGGGTTAATTACATAATAACCATTGAAGGTAATATATGTTGGTTGTTCTTCCTATAGAGGAAAGATAGACTTGCCCAAAAGCTTTTTCATGGCTAGGACAAGCTCTTATAGAGAGAGGTAATGTACTTCTGACTCCTGAAAAGGAATATTGGTGGCCCAATATGGGAAATACTGTAATTCATGTGTTTGGTAATCATAAGCATTTGCTTATTGCCACATTACTGATGTACTATTTATTGAAATATTAATATCTAACGTACTTTTTGAATTACTATATATTGGAAGTTTGCCAACATCTCAGGGTTATAAATATGTTTTTGTATGTGTTGATGCATGTGCCAGGTTTACTTGGATATATCCTGTGCGAAGTGCAACCTCTGATGCCACGTTTTCTAGTCTCACTTCCTTAGTATGCATTTGATAATCCCAGGACCATCCATTTGGATGGTGGTCCTGCAGTTACTGCAAAGGAAACCTAAAACTGGGCAACCACATTTTGGTTACTTTGGGATTTCAGTGCACCCAACCATCCCCAAAGTAGTGGGGTTGTGGTCTGGGAAAATGCTGAGGTTAAATTATTACTAACCAAGTTACCAGTTGCTTGCCCCACACAGTGGTATCTATTTATTCCTATGGTACAGATGAGCATTCACAACATACCTGATACAAATGGTGAGACACCATATGAAATGTTATATGTTTTTCACTGACAAACATATTTCTGCACCAGGGAGAGCTTAGAACCATTCTATTAGAGAAATTTAGGGAATTTTTTTTTTCAGCCCAACTCACCATACACCACCAACTTTTTCTTACTGTTGGCCAGTTTGTCCTGGAGAGGGTGACTCCGAGAACTTTTATTACAGAGAACAATCAAGGCCAACAGAGAACAGTAAGTTTTGATATTTTAAAACCTGCTAAATACTTCCAGGACGTTTACAGAACCATTGACTGATACAATGGATGCTGTTAAAGATGGCAAGATAAAACAGAGGACGACACCAGAATCATAGCCACGTAACAGACTGAATCATGATCTGACATCTGAACCTGCAAATGTGAAGAAGAAGGATGAACAGACAGACGTGATACGTTCACAGTTAACATGGAATGTATGAAAAATGAATCATCAACATCATCAGAAAGACTCTGGAGAAAAAAGACTGTACCTGAATTATCTTATACAGTAAGAAAGAAATGCAAAGATGCAAGCAAAAGGATGGTGTCTCCTTCTTACAATCTGCAGCATTATCATAACATCAACCCTAGCTGTTGTTTTAAAACTGCATTGGGATTATATTAACAAGCAGGAAGCACCTGAATTGAATTGGACTGCACATAATACAAGTTCTGTGATCATGAGGACTACCTCCAAGAACCATCTCGAAAGGAGAGACACAGTTCACAGTGAAATGATTGCTAATGTGACCTACACTGGTATTTCACAAGGAACCTATTGAGATCATTCCAAAAACTGATTATACATGAGAAAGATTTAATTGGACGATTACAAATCCTAATAATGGACTCAACGATGATGGCAAAGCATGCTGAAAACAGAAAAAAGATGGGACAGATGATTGTGAAAGACTTTGGATGCACATATGAAGGTGATTAAGAAAATACTTTGCCATATAGTTTATCATTGAGTGACTACCACAAACAGCCTTCTTATGCTGAAAAGAAGTGCTATGCTAATTCTGGACATTGCTATTATGTTTCCAGACAGAAGATGACCAGAAAAATAAATAAAGGCTGATAGCTGTCAACACCCAGCTGTTTCTCAAGATGGAACATGGTACTGAGAAAACCTGATTGACTATCAAAACACCTCACAGTACAAGACACAGATTGATACCTACAACTCAGAAAAAGTGGTTAATAGGAAGGAGCAGATGAAGAGGAATATAGATTTCCTACTGGAGTGAAAAACCATCCTGGAACAATATTCTGTAACAATGAAATTTACAATGACATTTGGTGGCATATGAATTTGAATTCAGAAGAAACATCAATTAATGAAAGAAACCTTGATGCAATTAATAAATAACAACAAGACCGGCCTACTAAAAGCAGATGTCCTGCCAAGAGAATGGATTATAAAAGGCCAGCAAAACCTTTCAGAAACCTGACATCATGGGACACTTGTACTAAAGCACGATTTGCAGCTTTTCTTAAACTCTACATATTATGTACATACCTGCAAAGCAAGGAACTCCAGTAAACATAAACACAGAGACATTGATACAACAAGGAATCTGTAATGGTTCTGTTGCAGATGTGATCTACCGATGTACTCCTTGCTCTATTGGTATAACTATACCCATCAAAACGTTAAATGGCTCTATAGATTCAAACGACAAAGGATTCTTGCTATATTCTGGACTTCCAGGAATGTGGTGCATGGACAGAAAATGTATAATTACTAAAGCAATCATGCTATTTTTTTCCCTGTATCAGAAATGTGTCAGTGACAATGTGTAATATAATACAGATACTATAATTAATGGTATAAAATAAACACATAATGTGTTAATTACAAAGGTGGATAGACTTTGTGAATATCTGAAACGCAATTGAAGATTATTGCTAAAATGCCATATGCATCTGCAGTCTGGCCTACAAACAAATATATTAGACATAAAGTATAAGAGCATAACAGCTAATTACCCAAATGAATAATTGAATCATGATAGTTAAAGATCATATGATTACAATAACAACTGCAATAATGAATAATGTTTAAACTTTAGAAGAAAATGTAAAATGTTTTTATTAAATCAGAAACGACTCTATATTTGTTTAAGTTTGCAGAGTGGTATAATTAATATAATCTAATTAATATAAGTGAAGTACTTCAACAGTTAAAATTTAACTGAAAGATAGGCAGAATCTTTACTTCACTTATCACAAACCTATATTTACATTGATAAACATGTTCAGTCTGCCAGAGCTAAGGCCAGTCAATGGAAAGTAACCCGTCCAGGTGATATACATGATTATTTTGGAAATTGATCATTTAGGTCACCTATTGCAAACTGGTGAAGAGATGTCAAAGATATAAATTCAACATCCATACCACTCTATGTGTGTATATATATATATATATATATATATATATATATATATATATATATATATATATATATATATATATGTGTATGTATTAAAATACACGTAATCAAATATTTAATCGTTTTTTCAAATACCAAGAAAATTAAATTTGGTTTGTGATGATTAAAGGTACATATACCTTGTGGTAATGATCCTGCCACATCTAAGCTATCATGTAGATGATTATTAATTCATATTCTGATTGTAACATACCCCCACTTCAACCAGTTATAGTTACAACAGATTCTGATATCTATTGTTATGGAAGTGTTAAAACCACTTCTACAAAGGTAGAGCTAAAATATAAATACCTTCAATATTGTTTCTGAGTGTTTTTTTTTTTAACTCACTTTTAGAAATAATAAAAATCCAAATCATCTTAAGCTACACCCAATAGCCGCTGGTAAATATATTTAAACAATTAAGATTCACATTGTTAAGCATCCAATCTCACGAATGTAACTTTCCACAATGGCTGTCAGATCTTGGTTTAAAAAAAAAAAAAAAAAGTTTTTAAGACAATTTTTGGGTGTTTCTGGTATTTTAAGCCACTAATAACTGTAGTTATTATTAGGGAATAAGTTGTCTTCTCCCTAACAGGTCACAGAACGATAATTAATGTCATATTTCCAATTTGCAACTATTCTAAATATATTGAGAGATTTTGAATAAAAGAGTATTTTTAACATTTAAAGAGAATGTAATTTTACATACCATTGTGAACAAAGGCGGTAAATACTTTGCTGATTCAAATTATCCTTATGTATCTAAATCATATACAAGGGTGTTTATCTCTAGTACAAAACACTAGAAAGATTAGCTATGTTACTATTTCATCTATCATTATTATACAAAGTATAACAAATGTAAAGATATTCCCACAGATTTTACCTGTTAACATTTTTAGCACAACAGCACCTGATGTCATTGAGATGTAGAGGTGTTACAAAGATTCCATTGCCGCAAAAAGAGGCGTTCTTGAGAATCCACTTCGATTGCTGTCTCAACATAACATTTACTATAATTGGATCCATGTCACTTAAGACAATGTCTTGGAAATGCCGTCAATTAATTTATTCCGTAAAAGAATATCGGAGCGTATCTATACACATCATAAACGGTGTAAAAATGTTTCATGGAAAAAACAAAACAAAAAGCAAACAAGCAAAGACAAAAGACAAATACCAACACCATCACCACGGTGATAACAGATGATGCGGATTCAATATCTGCAACCAATTCTAGCCAAATATTTGGAAAGCTTCCAAGACAATCCTTATTTTATATGGTATTCTCAATTATTTATATATGTTAAATAGAGGATCTCTTACACTCACTATATGAAATTTTGGCTAAGATATCTGTATGGTTAGCCCTACTAAGTTCTATGCCTTAAGACGTTATAGTGGTAAATAAGGGAACCAGCCACGGTTTGGGGGGGGGGTCCAGTGGTGAGTTTTGTAGGCAACGCTCCACACAGCCTGCTTGCGCGAGGAGCGACCTGCCTCCCAAGTCCTTCCGCCCCCCTCTCCTCTAACGAAGGGCATTCGGCCGGTGAGGGAGCTCTCTGATCTCCTCACTGGCCCGAGAGGACCCATGGGAAGAAAATGGGGCCGGCTCTCCATGGGATCTGCCTCTCTCTCTCCTGTATTGCATAGAATCATCTGTTCACTGGGAGCCTACTATCCAGATCCTGTCAGCACAGTGTGGGGATACTCCCCTTTCCAGTGGATCTTTTCAAACCCAGAGCCCGGGGTGATACGGCTCTGGTCCATGTGAGTTCTCCCCATTACTGCTTACTGTACATTACACTATCCAGATTGTCTGCATAGCGCGCTTTTTTGTGGTAATATTAGGGTTATTCTAGGCATTTAGGTGTTTGATGCTAAATGTTTTGGAACCCCCATTACCGTTCCAGGATCCTTGCGCCTGAAACATACATTCCTCTAGAACTGGTCTCTATTTGATTCTATCCATTTTTCCATTAATGATCAGTTTCCCGGTCAATGGAAAGTATCTCCATAATCTGACGCTGTCACCATCATTCTACACCGTGCCAATAATGTTCACAGAGCATTAAGAGCTATAGTATTAATGCCACTAATAAATCCTTCCAATATATTTACATTTTTGCTGTGCATTACATGTCTTTTGATATCATCCAATACTAGATCAGACCTATATATTTTCATCCACAGCTAGAACTACCATCACATAGTCTGTTTCACCCTTCTCACCCAAGGATTTCACAGGGTACTTCAGATTTTCCATTGACCTACTGGACATCTCTCTGGCTTATGTCCTCCTTACCCAGTTAATTGAAGGGTTGGCAGCTATCTCTAGATGAAATGCTGAGTACTGTATAGTTTCTGTGTTTTAATGATAGACATAATGGCACTCCATGTAAAAATTTCACTGACTGATGTTTGTCAGTGAATTGGTTTGTAACTATAAAATGTGAACATGTCTAAGGGCTGTGAAAATTTGTACCAGAAGTGGTGAACTACTCCAAACCAAACTTATAGATACTGAATGGCACCATACAATTGTATTATCAGGAGCATGGATGGAGATATTAACATAAGGCCAGCACAGAACGCATTTACTCATTAAGCAATTATAAACACCTGAAAGAAAATATAAGACACCATCAATAAGACAGTTACTGTGAAGAACACATCCCACGCTTACCCTGCTATCAAGCATGGTAACACATTTACAAATGAATACAAGTAGCATACAGCACATTCATACGTATTACTACACATATATGGAAAGAAAATTAAATAAAATATGGCATTGTGGCAAAATCTTAAAGTGACACCATAGGCACCGTAACAGCTTTATCTCATTGAAGTCGTCATAGTGTCAGGCGTCCTCTGGGACAGTCCCTTCATTCAGCATTAAAACATTTCTAAAGTTTTAATAATAAGTAAGAGTCCCCAGCAGCCCACCTCCTCTGTGCTGCTTAGACTAATGAGGAAATACTGATCTGAGCAGCAATTGCTGGCTGTGATTGGCTGAGGGTATCAGTTGACTGCTTTAAACGCATAACTGTGCCCATTGCTGGTATGAATTGGTCTGGTTTTAAAGGATATTAAATATTTGCTTTAGCCACGCATCCAGTAGGGACTCTTATTTAGTGTTAAAATACTCAAAAATGGTTTAACAATGAATAGGGAGATAATGCCAGAGGACTTCAGGCACTATAACCAATTCAATGAGATGAAATTATTACAGTGACTTCATTGTCTATTTAACCCCTTAAGGACACATGATATGTGTGACATGTCATGATTCCTTTTTATTCCAGAAGTTTGGTCCTTAAGGGGTTAAAAGGGACAGTATAGTCACCAGAACAGCTACAGCTTATTGTATTTGTTCTGGTGAGTATAATCATTCCCTTCATTCTTTTTGCTGTAAACACTATCTTTTTAGAGAAAATGCAGTGTTTACATTACAGCCTAGTGATGACTTCACTCGCCACTCTTCAGATGGCTGGTAGAGTTGCTTCCTGGGGCAGTGCTGCACAGTGAGCAGCACTGCCATTCAGTGTCTCCACCCTCTGCATTGAGACACAGAACTTTCCTCATAGAGATGCACTGATTCAATTAATCTCTATGAGGAGATGCGAATTGGCCAGAGCTGTGTTTGACTTGTGCTGGCTCTGCAACTGATCTGCCTCATTGACAGTCTCAGCCAATCCTATGGAAAAGCATTTTGATTGGCTCACAGAATCACTTCTGATAATGTCAGCATACAGCAGGAATGTCTGAGGCAGACGGGGGCAGAGCCAGCAGCTGCAGACTTGAATACAAGCACGATTATACTATATTTAGGGAGGCAAGATGGTGGTTTTAACACTATAGAGTCAGGAATACATGTTTGTATTCCTGACCCTATAGTGGTCCTTTAACACTGTAGTTTTTTCCCTCCATGCTATAGCTTTAGTGGGGACATCATAAGTTGCAAACTTTCCTTCAGATGTACAGTCTAGAGATAAAGTCTTCAAATTAAATACATAATAAGATGAAACATTGTGTTTGATTTATACTGTTAATTGAAATATATAATCTCAGAATGTACATATGTATTGAGACATTGTGCTTCTAATAGCTATCTTTACTTTTTATAGATAAATATCTCATCTACACTTTCATAGTATTAGGTCTGGTACTACTTGATGTCTGAATGACACCACTCACCGTTACTGTTGTTGCATCTAATTCTGTGAAGAAGAGGTCTCCTCCCTGGAAATCGTCATTCAGGTATAGGACACCACTGTGAATTTACAGTTACAAACAGTTCAAGTGACAATTTGTTTAGTAGACACCATTGCCAATTTCCAGAACATTCTCCCTGCAGACATCACGCCAGTGCCACAACTATTCCTCCAGAAAACTCCACATTAGTCCCCAGACCAGCAGCTTCAGGAGGCACCATCCCAATTCCATATCCAGTCCACCATCATACACCATTAAAGCCACCTAAACATTTCTTTGGAAAACATATACCAGTACACTAGACATCCAACAGTCGCTATCCAAGGCAACAACTATTCATTAAGCTGATATCTTTCCTGCCCATAGTCCATTCCTCCAGCAGACACCATCCTCATCCATCAAACATTCCTCCAGTAGACATCATCTCCTGCCTCCAACTATTTCCTCCACAAAGAGTATTCATTCTCTCCAACCATAACCCAAATAAAAAAAAAGCATTTCTGTCCCACAGCCATTCCCCTAGCACACAGTTCACCTACCCTGATATTCCTCTAACAGACGACTTACTTCTCTACAGTTCCAACAGCACACAGGGTCTCATTTCCCTGACCATCTTTCAGCAACACAGACTCACTTCTCAGGCTGTTCTTCCATCACAAAGCATCCTGGTCCCCAGACCATATTTCCATCAGAAAGCATTCCTCACTCAACCATTCCTCCAGTAAACACAATGTCACTCCTCTAACCATTCCTCCATCACACTGCATTCCTCTCTCAACCATTCCTCCAGTAAACACAATGTCACTCCTCTAACCATTCCTCCATCATACTGCATCCCTCTCTCAACCATTCCTCCAGTAAACACAATGTCACTCCTCTAACCATTCCTCCATCATACAGCATACCTCACTCCACCATTCCTCCAGTAAACACAATGTTACTCCTCTAACCATTCCTCCATCATGCAGCATCTCTCACTCAACCATTCCTCCAGTAAACACAATGTTACTCCTCTAACCATTCCTCCATCACTAAACCATTCCCCCAGTAAACACAATGTTACTCCTCTAACCATTCCTCCTTCATACAGCATCTCTCACTCAACCATTCCTCCAGTAAATACAAAGTCTCTTCTACAACCATTCCTCCATCATACAGCATCGCTCACGCCACAGTTCCCCCAGTAAACACAATGTCACTCCTCTAACCATTCCTCCATCATACAGCATCCCTCACTAAACCATTCCCCCAGTAAACACAATGTCACTCCCCTAACCATTCCTCCATCATACCGCATCCCTCACTAAACCATTCCCCCAGTAAACACAATGTCACTCCCCTAACCATTCCTCCATCATACAGCATCCCTCACTCAACCATTCCCCCAGTAAACATAATGTTACTCCTCTAACCATTCCTCCATCATACAGCATCTCTCACTCAACCATTCCTCCAGTAAACACGTCACTCCTCTAACCATTCCTCCATCATACAGCATCCCTCACTAAACCATTCCCTCAGTAAACACAATGTTACTCCTCGAACCACTCCTCCATCATAAAGCATCTCTCACTCAACCATCCCTCCAGTACATACAATGTCACTCCGCTAACCATTCCTCCATCATACAGCATCCCTCACTCCACCATTCCTCCAGTAAACACAATGTTACTCCTGTAACCATGCCTCCATCATACAGCATCTCTCACTCAACCATTCCTCCAGTAAACACAATGTTACCCCTCTAACCATTCCTCCATCATGCAGCATCTCTCACTCAACCATCCCTCCAGTAAACACGTCACTCCTCTAACCATTCCTCCATCATACAGCATCTCTCACTCAACCATTCCTCCAGTAAACACAATGTTACCCCTCTAACCATTCCTCCATCATACAGCATCTCTCACTCAACCATTCCTCCAGTAAACACGTCACTCCTCTAACCATTCCTCCATCATACAGCATCCCTCACTAAACCATTCCCCCAGTAAACACAATGTTACTCCTTTAACCATTCCTCCATCATACAGCATCTCTCAACCATCCCTCCAGTAAATACAATGTCACTCCTCTAACCATTCCTCCATCATATCGCATCCCTCACTCAACCATTCTCCCAGTAAACACAGTGTCACTCCTACAACCATTCCTCCATCAGACTGCATTTCTCCCTCAACCATTCCTCTATAAGATCGCATCCACCACTTAACTATTCCTCCACCATACAGAATTACTCATGCAACCACTCCTTTAGTAAACGCAACGTCACTCCTCCAACCATTTCTCCATCAGATATCTTCACATTCCCTGACAATTTATCCAGCATACACCATCCTACTCTACCAACTGGTTACAGCATACAACTACCCCAACCATTCCACTTGCATATGGGGTGCAACATCCCCAATCATTTCTTCTGCGGGCAGTATCTCCGAACAAATTCTGAGCTTCCAATATTAATGAACAGAAATATTTTGTCTCAACCCATCTCTCCAACAACATACCTGTAGTCTCTGTGTACGTACGCAGGAAGCTCCTTCCAGCATTCCCTCTCCTCTGGGTCCAGTATACAGTTATCAGCATGAACTGGGTGACTAAAGTCATTTCGGCTGTCCTGTTCTCCTAAAACGACATATAGAGAGACAGGTAACCATATTGTTGAATGCAACATTTTATTTTATCTGTGTCTTAAACAACATTATCTACTTGCATTATTAATTTCCTTTTCTAAAGAATTAGATGAATAGTCATCCATGGTGGGAATGTAAGTAAGAAATGTAGTCAAGTAGAAGAATAATTAGCATTGATTTAAACTCTAGACCATTAACCTTGCATGGGTAGAGATAACCCATGTTAGTGATGTGGTTTATCTACAACATGCAATGGGAAAGGACCAAAACCTGCTGAGATCATCATCTGATACTTACCAATATCAGTAATAATTACACACATACCAGAGCACTATAGAACCCCAGATCTGCAATCTAGTTAATGTAGAAATAAGAGTGTCATTGCTACTTTGTATCCACAAATAAAGGACTGAATACATTATTTTGTTTCACTATCTGCTACATCCAGCAATGAGGAGTCATGGAATAGTGTGTGTGTGTTGTGGGTTATACTGGGATTTATGTCCACAGACAGCAATCTAACTGGTGTTACTAGTTTTGGAATGAAAACACAAACTAAGTTATTAGTATTTCATCATTTCCACAAATACTTGGTGGAAAAACAAACTGCCTTAAAGGTTTATTACCAAAGTACACAAAATAATCTCAGAAAACAATTTATTTTTGCACGCATACTTTCCAGAAGGGTGTGTTCTCTAACAAAGCAAACAGACTTAACTTTGCCGTTAATATCCGTGAAGCCGCAACTGTCCACGTAACAGTCAGGGGTACACTGTTGGCAGTAATATATATGTGTTTTGGAGTGACTTTTACATCTTTTATAGAAAAATACTGCTAAAACCGTGATTAAAAGAGGACAGGTCATTTTAGCATACATAGTATTTATCCTCTCTGTAGCAGAGTTGGAGAATGTCTACAGATCCGCTATTTTAACCTAAATTCTATTCCCTACAGTTTGGAGTTTAGTGAAAAGCCTTGTGAAAAAAAAACCTGATGTATAGATTCTGAAGTCTACTAACATTACTACAACAAACTGCTTCTATATATACACAATCCAGCCCACTTGCCTATTCACTAAACAATGATTTCAAATCTTAGAGATTGTAATAGTTTTATTTAAAAACACCTCACCTCGGCAAAAAATAATGGGAGTTTAGTTCCATTATATGATCATATATTGCATAAGCCTGCCACAACGTCAATGTTCCCCATTCTTGGCAGGTCCTACTCTAGCAGCCTAATGCTTGCTCTAAGGAAGTATTTTCCAAGTAAGTGGATTAATCTCATAAGAGCAAGCATTAGACTGTTAGAGTAGGACCTGCCAAGAATGGGGTACATTGACGTTGTGGCAGGCTTATGCAATATATGATCATATAATGTAACTAAACCCCCATTATTTTTTGCCTAGGTGAGGTGTTTTTAAATAAAACTATTTCAATCTCTTAAGATTTGAAATAATTTTTTAGTGAATAAGCGAGTGCGCTGGATTGTCTATTTTGTATATTTTGGCCCCAGCAGCCTATAATGTATGCATGTTCAGGTGAGTGCAGCCCTCTTGGTGTTATATATATATCCCCGACCAGAAGTGTATACAAGACCTTGCCATGCAGGAACCTATAGTCTCAAAAATAATAGTTTTTTCCCCCAGGACTATATGTTCCCTTCTATTGCTGGGAGCATTGCCTACCCACCTTGCTGCTAAAAATTCAAGTTAAATAATAATTACTTACCTGGTTTCCGGCACAGAGATTCTGTTGCTGTAGCCATGTGCTCTTTTTATTTACACTTATTGTTATTTATATATTGTGTTCTTAAAGTGACCAGGACAAATAGCAGAACTCTTTTCACTACTTTATAACACCAATTACACTTTTTGTGTGCCTATACAGTCATTGTTTGCAAACAGCCTCCCATGACTTTGATCTCATCATACAATAACTGTTTGTGCTCAGGGCACCTTTTTATCTTGATTTGTCTTTTGCTAGAAAAGATTATTGTTATATGTTGTGTGTGTGTTGTTTTTTTTTCTATTGTCTGTTTTGGTGCATGACGTTACAACATAAGAAAAAACAATCACAGGCAAGATATCTTACTCATTATGTGGAAATACAGAGGAAAAGTGAACCTCGCCAGAGATGGAACCATAGCTCAGTAATAATGTAATTGATTTCTGCAGGTCCTGATATGGTTGGAAATAGCAAAATCCAGCATGTGCCTGTTTAGCGACCTCACCATTTTTTTGTATTTATTTATACAGTAAACATGTGAGGAAACATTCAGTTTTACCTTCTATTGCTGATCGGCATACAAGATGAGTAAACGAGAAGTGCAGCTTCTCAGTGCCGAAATAGGACTGCGCCAATACCCGGGCACGCTCACTAGCACGGTAATAAAGGCGGGCATGGGAGGAATCTACTGCTCCCGATGCAGCCATCTGAGAAGAGAGACATTGTTTCACTGCAAATTGCATAATGCATGTTGCATGGTGTGTTGTATAAGTAGCAGCATGCTGTTGTTGTTATGAAGCCACACTCATGCAGGATGTGCTATCGCTGTGTTATTTGACATATTGGATGTTACTTGGCAGTTTCCAGTTGTAGAGTGGTGGTGGTGGTGGTGGTAGTTGTATTGTCATTGAAGTTAGAATATGCATTAGTAGTCAATGTTTTGTGGTGGTAATTTGTAGTAGGATTTGTGCAAGCAGCCAGCATGCAAAGTGAATATTATTTCTATGTACCTGCAGTGCCCTTAGTACAGTCAGTCCCTGGATCCTCTCCCGGGGAGTGTGACGAGACAGTCTGCCACGGAATCCACTGCCAGGGCCTCCTGCCGCCTGCATGATAACAGCATAAAACTGACATGCCTGGTATACATTCTCTTGCCAGTGACAAGTCCCTACAGAGGCCGTTCCAATAAAACAAACTTTCCCTCTTACAACTTCTAACCTGTCCGAGGGTCTGTAGCATCTGGCACTCCTCTTCATTTATCACACCATCCAGAGTCACTCGTGTTGTCCCATTCATCTGCTTGGGGGTCAGAGTTACAGTCACCTCTTCAAAGGGAAGGGTTCCTACAAAGCAACACAGTTACAGTCTTTAAAGAGATGTCCACCCCAACCAGCCCTTTCCTAGGTGTATGCCAAAAATACCAATACTCACGCTGATCCTTTTCTTCTCTCTCCTTTCTGCGAGGGAAAAAAAACTTTATTACTATATGGGGCAACATGGATGAATATCTCACATAGCTTTCAGCGCTCACCTGCCCTGAGTACAGTATAGAGTGTTGGCATAGGACACAGACACAAACTCAGGATGGCAGTCAAGATGCAAGAATGGTATAGAAAGTATATGACATGTAAACACTGGGATAATATAGAGGGTCAATATGTGACAAAATCAATGGACAGTTAGAGGGTCAGCATGTGACAGCACATTATCACCCTGTAGAGAAAGAACTTACTTCACTCTGTCTCGCAGACTCTCTGGAATGATCTCTTCGGGCGTCCATGAGTCCTAAGAGAAATAGGATTTATTATCAAACTTGAGTACCCTTCCTGTGAATGGACACTAAGCCTATATGGTACTAGAGGAAGTACAGACTATGAACGTGAGACCCACTTCATCTTCCACTTTTAGATATAGGAGCAAGATCTCCCATTTCTTACATGTTTTAAGATAAAAATGCTTATTGCTCATCAAACGGACGAGCTGTTTTGCCATGAAAAGCATTCTGGCATGGAGCAATAAGGTTTGTGCTGAATAAATTAATGATAATCATTAATATATCCCCTTTTTTGAAAGAAAATAATACTTACTGGATCATTAAAGGAAATGTTTAGATGTTCCATGGCGTAATAAAGCAGTCTCTTCTCCGAGAGAGTCCGGCGAACGTATGAGACAATAGACTGGGGAGAAACATGAGAAATCAAAAGAGATAAACAGATGGAATGGTACTTTAAATGATATCTGCAACTGTGCTTATTTTAATTTTTAAAAACACAATAGTAAGCCCTACACTCAAACTCCTGTTACTCTTGGGTGGCCGCAATGGCTATAATATTCATCAGCCCCAAGACATAGAGAGCAAAAAAAAAAAAGTTTCCTGTTTCCATTTAAATAACAGAGGTTTTGCCAACTCTTTTCTTGGTTTTGTTCTGTGTATATTGGCTAATGAGTACTATAACCAGGGCTAGAAAAATGTTGACTTGCCACTCACCATTGGTGAGTGCAAATTTAGCCATGGGAAGAAGAAATTCACCACTGAGGCAAGTAACTATTAACTATGCAGGGGCAAGTAATTATTAAGGCCTCATTAGTAGCATAGGACTCTAATTTTAAAGGGAAACTATAGTGCTAGATCAACACAGTTGTGCCCCTCCCCTATAGTGTCCCCCCTCCCAGGGGCGGGCTGGGCCGGGGGGGCAGGGAGGCAATTGCCCCCCAGGCCGCCTAAATTCTTGTAAGACCGGCCGCGGCGAGCCGGCCCTTTAAATACTGCAGCCGCCTGAGCGCTCTGTTAAGAGCGGTCAGGCAGCTGCAGCTTCTCCCTTCCCCTCCCCTCCCCTGTAGCGTGGCCGAGCTGCACTCCGGTCCGCGGTGGCCGGCCGGAGTGATAGGAAGGTGCACACTGAGTGTGCACTTCCTGTCAGTCCGGCCGGTTACAGGAAACAGAAACTCCTAAGAAGAGAGGGAGGGGGGGACAAGAAGAGAGGGAGGAGTGGGGGGGGGAATAAGGAAGAGAGGGAGGAGGGAGGGGAAGAAGAGGAGGAGGGAACAAGAAGGGGGAATAAGAAGAGGGGGGGGAATAAGAAGAGGGAGGGGGGAGATAAGAAAAAAGAGGGGGTAAGAAGAAGAAGAAGAGGAGGGAGCAAGAAGAAGAAGAGGAGGGAGCAAGAAGAGGGAGAGGGGAATAAAGGGGAGGGGGGAGTAAGAAGGAGGGGAGAAAAGAAAGAGGGGGTAAGAAGAAGAAGAAGGGGTGAGTAAGAAAAAGAGTGGGGAGTAAGAAGAAGAAGAAGAGTGGGGGTAAGAAGAAGAAGAGGGGGTAAGAAGAAGGGGGAGTAAGAAGAAGAGGGGGAGTAAGAAGAAGAAGGGGGAGTAAGAGGAAGAAGAAGAAGGGGGTAAGAAGAAGGGGAGTAAGAAGAAAGTAGGAGGGTTAAGAAGAAGAAGGGGCGAGTAAGAAGAAGAAGAGGTGGTAAGAAGGGGGAGCAATACGAAGGAGGGATGACCAAGGGGGGAAGTAAGAAGAACACAGGGAGGAGGGGGGGTAAGACGAACACAGGGGGGGTGAGGAGAACACATAGAGGGAGGAGTGAGAAGAACACATAGAGGGAGGAGTGAGAAGAACACAGGGAGGGTGGAGGGTGGGATGAGAAGAGTACAGGGAGGGTGGGTGAGTGTGAGAAGAGACTGCTAGGGGAGGGTGGGGGAGAGGAGAGACCACTAAGGTGCAGGGGAGAGCTCTACGGGACAGAAGGGGCAGCTCTATAGGACAGGGGCCAAGACAGGGAGCTCTTTCACACTACGCGCGCACACACACACACACACACAATGCATCCCTATACATACACAGAAACACAACATGCTTCCCTTACACACAGAGAAACACAATGAATCCATTACACACACACACACACACACACAGAATGCAACCCTTACACACAAAGACAATGCATCCTTTGCACACATACACAGAAACAGACAATGCAAACCCATACACACACATGCAAACACACACACTTCTTTTCTTACATACACACAGAAACACAATGCATCTCTTACACTCAATGCACACACATACAGACACACACCCAGACCCTTATGGCCACAAACACAGATTCACACAATGCATCCCTTACACACAACAGGAACACGAATACATCCCTAAACACAAATACACATCTGCTTCCACTCACACAAACACACTGCATCACCTGCACAAACTGGTAACCCTACACTAATACCATAAGCACATAATAGCATCCTCCACAATAACACATAACACATCCCCCACACACCCACCCCCAGACAACCTTGCTGGGTGGAACTTATGAGTGGGCCTTATGGGCATACTCACTGTCAGGCCCTGGGGCCCAGACCTTGAGCTGTATAAGGGGCCCAAAAAAATGGAGCTGCTTCCAATTCTCCCAGAACATTGAATTTTGTGACCACAGTTGCAAACAGCCTCCAGAGATCCTGTTCTACACCAGACCAGTGGAGCAAAACTGCAGCCCATCCTCATCCTCATCTGCTTGTAAGTAGGCAATCTAGTATATTATTAGTGACACTAATCTATAATTTACCTCACATTAAAGGGACACTATAGCTTAATGAAGTGGTTCTGGTGTCTATAGCTGGTCCCTGCAGGCTTTTTAATGTAAACACACACTGTGTGCAGCACTGGCGTTAGTTCAAAGGGCACATCATATGGGTGGGGCATTGTGATGTCACATGGGGGGGCAGCAAATTTTTATTTTGTCTAGGGTGGCAAAAATCCTTGCACCGGCTCTGATCCTGGGCAGGTGCACCAGTCTACTGGTGACCCACAGGAGGGGAGTGCACTGATTGCACTGCACTCTCCTCCTGCCCAGCCCCATCTTTACCGCAGTGCAAGTGCCCTCTGCCCCTAATTTACAGTGGCTCACACTCACAACAAGCAGTGCCTGGAGCCGTGAAGGAGCGGGTATGGCAAAGAGCTACTGATTAGCATAACATCAATATCCGTTATAAAACCAGGAAAAGGTGGGCATGTATGGTGAACTGATTTGGTGGTGCAATGGCCCACTTGACTGGTTTTGCCCCCCAGGCCTAAGGCTGCCAGAAAATTAGACTTGTTAACACATATGATGTGAGAGAGAGAATTCTATTTTTTACCACTTCTTTATCTTTTTTATGAATAATGGTGTGTTAGCACATGAATTTGGTGTCTTTGTATTTGTTTCTGTATTACACAGCCATGTTAAAGTGCTGCCGTCTGTCTCAAGTGTGTCCTATTAAGGGTTAATAAGTGTGAAGGGGTTCATAAGAACTCCCTTTTTTGTCTCAGAGACACTATAGAGTCACCAGAAAAGCTATACCTTATTGTATTTTTCTGGTGAGTATACGAGTTCCCTTCAGGCTTTTTGCAGTAAACACTGTCTTTTTAGAGAAAAATGCAGTGTTTACATTACAGCCTAGTGATACCTTCACTGGCCACTCCTCAAATGGCTACTAGAGGTGCTTCCTGGGGCAGTGGTGTGCAGCATTGACATTCAGTGTCACCACCCTCTGCATGGAGACACTGAACTTTCCTCATTGAGATGCATTGATTCAATGCATCTCTGTGAGGAGATGCTGATTGACCAGGGCTGTGTTTGGCTTGTACTGGCTCTGCCCCTGATCTGCCTCTTTGACAGCCTCAGCCAATTCAATGGTTTCCTAGGTGAAAGCTTTGTGATTGGGTCAGATCAACACCTGATGATGTCAGCCAAGCTGGCAGGTCAGAGGCCGAGCCAGCAGCAGCAGACTGGAATAAAGGTATTATTTGACTATATTTAGGGAGGCAAGGTGGGCTGGCAGGGGGACTATAACACAAACGTATTCCTGACCCTATAGTGTTCCTTTAAAGGATTAATAAGTGTGTTCGTGTTCATAAAAATACCTCCCTTTTTCTCATTTAAGATTTTGCTTTTTAGCGGAGAGCAGCAAGGTGAATTAAAACTTAAGAGCATTGCCGTCACGGGGTAGATGAGCGTACACTTTAATGGCCAATGGAGTGGTATGAAAAATAACATTATTTTAAGCATAGGACCTTTTAGGATTGTGAGTATGTATCTTTTGTTTTGTTTTATTTTTACCTTTCATATTGTAAAGCTGATCTATCCCATTGCACGTATAATTTTTAATTTATATTTTAGCAACAATTATTACTTTTATGGTAAAAGCGGGTTGGTTTAGATACAGAGTGGGCTAGGTTTCTATTCAGTGTCACTCTGCATCATTTGTCACTAAAATTTTATAGAAATATGGGTTTCTTGCAAAATCACAGAACAGAAAGAGACTTGTACATATGTGAGAATGTCTCTCAGATACAATGGAATGCTCTGTCCATGTGACAAAACAAATATCTCTGAGCATCATGATACATGCAACTACTACCTGAGTGCTTGGTATGCAGTCAGTACTGGAGTTCAGGAATGAAAGCTCCTTACTCAGCCTCCACTGTGGTTCACCTTAAGTAACACTCACCTCCCGCAGTTTGTCAGAGTTCTTGCCCTGCAGTCTTTCTTCATATCCCCGCAGCCTTTCTTTTGCAGTCTCATTCTGGGGTTGAAAGAGCAGTAGAGAACGGACAATTTCAGCAGCAGCCTCCCAGTCCTCAACTAGAGTGAGAAAGTAATAGAAATACCCCATGGGGCAACTGGCATCAACAAAAAAAGACAAAAGTACCCTACAGGGCAATCAGCCATATCATACAGATTACCAAGATTGCCTCTAAATTCTCTAGGGCAATTACGTATTGCACAGTTCCCATGTGAGATACTTCCTGATTGCAGGGGCGAGAATAAAGAGATCAGTTGCTGTGTATACTCACGTTTGGTATAAATGTCCAGCAATAAGGACAAGTGAGAAATGAGTGGATCCTGTTTGGAATGTTCACCACTGGGCCTCAAGGTGGGTTCTAGAGCACAATTCTGCTTACACTGTAAAACCTCTGTGTAATATTCTGCAAGAGAGGAACATGTATGGGTAATACTCTGCGAGAGAGGAACATGCAAGGGTAATACTCTACGAGAGAGGAACAATGCTAACACCCTAATATCACACGGGAAGTAATGGTTGGATAATAGAAGAAGAGCAGGTTACTTTATAGGGAGAGAGTTTATGGGAGTTTGAAAGAGGAGAACTCACGCGATATTGCATATGAAAAATCCTTGTAAATCTCGCTTTCTTGTTCCCGGGTTCCCTCGCACAAAGCACGGCAATCTTCATGTTCCATGAGATATATCTTCAGTGAGTCCTCTAACCGTCTAACTGCAACTCTGAATTTACCCTCGGACAGCAAAGACAATGCCTGAGCATATACAGTCTGTGGAGAGACAGCAGGGAGACTGAGTATACAGCACACGAACAGAGACCACAAATAATCTGAATATACAGCTCTTGAACAGAGACAGCAGAGAGACTGGATATACAGCATCTGAGGAGTGACAGCAGAGCGACTGAGTACACAGCACATGAACAGAAACAGCAGAAAAACTGAATACACTGTACCTGAACAGAGACAGAAGATAGACTGAATATGAAGCTTCTGGATACAGACAGCAATGTAAATGAAAATACAGTATGTGAACAGAGACCACAAACAGCCGTCTCTGCTACAGTGTGGTACTCTAGGGAAGGAATCAGACACAACGAGGGAAATTTCTCAAAAGTGCCCTGTAAAGCGGTTTTTATATTTAGTCTCTAATTTGTTTGTATTTATTAAATTGCTCCAATTTTTTTCTAGAAAATGTTGGCATTCACTTACATTTTATAAAACCTGCCAAAGTTTGTGGCAAAAAAAATAAAAATAAGAGGTAAAACAATAATTTTCTGGTAGAAAAAAATAAGGAAAGACTCACACATTTGTCTTGCACACATTGAAAATTGTCAGGGGGCAAAAGAAGAAACAGATGTAAAATACAAAAAGCAAAAAAACAACAGAATACCTGACAGATTTAACAAACCACACTGCAAAAACACCAACATAAAAGCCACCCATCTTAAAAAAGGTGCAAAATGGTCAGCGACACTTTCAGAAATCTTCCCTGATGTTTATGAGTACAGAGCACAGGACAAGTTCCTCCTAGAATTGTGTTACCTTGTATTGTGGTTGCTCTAGGTCCTGGAAACTCGGTTCTTGGATCTCTTTCATCCTGCGGTAACGCTGAATATCCTCTTGGATTTGCTCGTGATGAGGGTTCTTTACATAGAAAGTGAATGCAGCAGCAGCGGCTTTATCCAGCTCTTCCAACTGTGTAAAAGAATATATTTCAGAGAATTGCCTGTCCAAACTACTGGTCACTACTTTCAAACTGCTTGTCAGATGCCATCACTACTTATCAGATAGCATCAGTAGCCTTGCATTTGTGTGACTAGCTATCCACCCCTGTCACTAGCTGTCCATTCCTGGGGGAATTCCAAGCACTGGGTTCTTGGGTCTCTTTCATCTTGCAATAAACTACCCCTACCCCTTATTGTAGTGTTTTTGGAGCTAGGAAACTTTCCCCAAATAATTTCCTTTTAAATCCTTGCTGTATGGAGATTTCCTCTGGCTTACCCATTAACCCGAGCAAGTATTGTAGTGAACACACAATTCCCAGTCCGGCAGCACAGATCCAGGAAGTGAAGATAATCGACTTGAACGCCATGAACTGGCTGTAAGTACTTATGCCATGCAAATACATGAACAGCTAAATGGGGAAGCGAGATTTCCTCATATGATTTTGTTTTGAAGGGGGGTGGAGCCTCAATACTAATAAGAAAATTGAAAATGGCATGGATTTAAAAGATGCAGACTTCTACAACCACAACGAATACAATAATATGCAGTGGTTATGGTGTCCCTTTAAATATAAATTATTTACCCCAATGCCACTGTATGGCAGCACTGAACCACTGGGAAGTTTGAACAGTAGCTCTGTGTATGTCACGTGGAATTGTATTTCCAAAGGCAAAGCATTCTGGAACAGAATCCAAAGGACAATGACTGAAGCAAATTCTTATGTAGACTGGATGTTTAGGGGCCAATAGTGTATTTTTTTTAAATTTACTTCCGATCTGAATTGCCTCTCACCCCCTTCACTTCAACCACCTCCTAGACAGGCCTGATTTAGGGCCTTTGTCCTGTTGTCCCAGGTTTTATCTGTAGGGTCCCTGATCCTCACACACAGTAAAATATATATAAAACGTTACACAGATCACATACACAGAAACACACAGTAATTTACACACTGTATACACACATAGAGTAACACATACGCAATATTACACACACAGTTTGTGTAACTCACATGGCATTTGGGGGGCACACACACACACACAGTTGTACCATGGAAGAGGTTGCAATAATCCGTAGACAAAAATATATTTCTGTTTTCTTCTTGGAATTTTGTTTGCAATGTGCCAGACATTAATTGTATGAGTGCAGGCCTACTAACTTAAAATTTTATTACAAGACACGGAGGCTCATATTGCATATCCTTTTCTTTACTGTCCACCAATAGCAGCAAAGGATACAAAACAGAATGAAAGAATAATGCATACATAGTAACATAGCAGGCACCACCCTCAGATCTTCCTCTTTCTTTGCTGCTCCATAGTCAGATAAATACCAAATTTTCTCTGTTCTGTGGGTTTTGTTAAATGTTGTGCTTTGTTACGATTTTGCTGTTATATAACTATATTAGACACGGGGTCCCAGACCCGCTGAAGACTATTTTTATCTGTTTGAGGGTCTTTTGTTTTACCCCTGTCCTTTTCTCGCTTGTCTCTATGCCTTTTACCCTTACTTGAGGTTTTTGTTTTTTGGTACCTGCTGTATGGGTCTGGTTTCTGCTCTGTTTCCTCTGGTGCCCCTGTGTTTTCCCCTGTTTCTAGAGCTCCCTGGAGCCCCGGGCCGTTTTTGCTGCCCTTGTTGGCTCAGTTCGACCAGTGTGGGTCTGGTATTCAGCAGTTTGCTAGCACGAACGCCAGAAACGCTTGTTTCTTGGCTATGTTCGGTTCGTGATCGCTATTTCACGTTTGCGAACTTGTAACTGAAAGTTCATCTGTTTTGGCCCGTTCGTGGGTTTTGCCTTATTGGAGGTGTACGGCCTGCGAACGAGCTTCGTTCGCGAGCTGAACGCACTAGCTTAGTAGAAGTTTTTTTCTCCTCCCCCTCCTTCGTTTTACCTTGCTTGCCTCGTGTAGTTACTGCTGGTCTGGGCCCTGGTGAGATCTCTCCTATTTACCTTTTTCCTGGTTTGTTTAGCTTGGGTGATTAACCCTTACTGTGCTGATTACTTTGCAACTATTTGAGTGTCAGTTTATATATATTTATAACTCTTTAGTGTGGGTCTTTGTATCATGCATAAGCGTAGGGTGCCTTCCTGTTCACCTACCCCTGGGGAGATGGATACCCCACAGGCCCTGGGGGAGACCCCAGCTACATCAGGCTCCACTCCCATTGGTGGACCTGTCTGGCCACGACGAGAGAGTGCTGGCCTCAGAGCTACAGCGCTCAGTGATGGAACTATCTCCCAGGCCCTGTTCACACGTCCAGCGAACGCTCCATTTACTGGCTCTGTGGCGCGTGCATCCTGCAGTGGATGCTCCAGGTGCGGCACCCAGGAAGGCTCTGCGCAGAGCCAAGCATACCTCCCCCTCTGCCTCCAGAACACTTCTCGTCCATGCAAAAGAGCCAGGCAGAATGGGAGCAGGGATGGAAATGTGAGAGAACACAAAAAGAGAGCGACTCCAAATCAGAAATCGGGTCTAGTGAGGAGTCGAGAGCGACTCAGAGGGATTCCGCGGAGTTGGGCCTTGACCTCTTTTCCTCCGCTCAGGTGGAGATATCTGGAGGCTGCTCCTCCTGCAGATGTGGGGACTGCCCTCATGGATCCATCGAGCGAGCCCTTGTTCGACCCGGATGCTATAGTTCGCTACCACCATTTCAAGATGGACACCATCCTTATTAAAATAAAAGCCAGAGTGCCACACTGTGGCTTAGACTAGATGTTTGGCCTCTTCTACACCAGAGCCACGATAAACCACTGATAACATTATTTGAGTTATTATTTGACACTATATGGTGTTTCTGCGGCCAGAATAGAGCAAACTTGGTTCTTGACTTTCCACAATCTTCCACATTGCATGATAACATTGAGTGTTCAATGCTTTTCTGTGGGAACCATGTGATTTGCCTATTGTGGCAATTTCTGCACATTAAGTCCACAATGCTTCTGTAAGAGAAGCATTTCATTGGATATAATATTCATTAAACCATACCAGTTATCCAGTGCCAAAACAGGCTCTTCTCTGCAGTCCAATCCGACTCTGCTGATGTTATCGGGCTTGATTAACATTTTATCCAATCAAATGGTTTTCTTAAAGAAGCATTGTGGACTTAATGTGCAGCAATTGCCGCGATACGCCAATCAAATGGTTTTAATAGAGAAGCATTGAAAATTCGACATCGTCATACAGTGAATGAGGACACGGAAAGTCAAGAACCGAGTTAGTGTTCCATTAACCATGTTTGTAAACTTTATTTTTATTTTCAATGTAGCATAGTAGGGAGTCTGGTTTCCCTTTTGACTTTATACCTACCAGAAGCCAACCTTTTACAGATTGCAGATAAAATGCATAGAAAGTTTTGTTCGTAAACACAAAATTTATTTAGTGAACACTTTATGTATGTATACCTCTTAAAAATCGGAGAAAGTAAGTTGGTACAATGTCTGCCCTGCTAGAGATGCTGGCGAAAGGCAAGCGTGACTATTGTGAAGTGAAAAGTCTGGGACGACAATCAGCCACCAATAAAGTGAAAAAGATCCAGTAACTAGTGAAACACAACCACTAGCTGCCAAACCTTTTCATGTGTGAAACTGACCCTGGACAATACAATTTTTTTTTAATTTACTCTGAAAAACAAGAAATGTTGGGCAAGAATTTTGTGAATTGGGTTTCAATGGTAAGGCAGTAGAAGATAAGCCCAGGCCATGGTCAAAGCCAAGCTTTGACTAGTGGGTTTTAAAGGTGGTCAATGCTGGAATGATGAATCTTCCCTCACCATTTGCTGCCTGTATGACTGCCAACTGTTAATGGGGGAGTAAAAAGAGCCGGAGCTTCTTAGTGCCAACAAAAGGACATTTTAATCCTATGACGACATCCTAAAGGTTTCTGTATTGGACTTCTGTGGCACAAGTTTGGAGATCTCTCGTGTTTCCGCATGCAAAAGATACAAAGATAAAGTCCATAAAGAAATGGTTTATTGAGGACAGTGTGGAAGAACTTGAGTAATTATTCTTTAAATGTTGTGCTCAGACTATTTAACTCCTTTCCTAGGTTGGGACCCCTCCGCAACAGCCTCCAGTGATGACAGCATATAAGCTGACATTACCTGCAATCTCCTCCAATTCATTGCCATCAGCAACATTTTATTACAGGACAGAATTTTGTGTGGCTCTGGAGGAGGAAGCACCTCTGTTGGCTATTAAACCCTCCAATGAAAACATTACAGTTTCCACAAATCTGCAATGTTTTGCATTTCAGGATTAAAATGACAGGACCACTGCAACTGATATAAAAGTCTGGGTGACTTATTGGTTCTTTAAGATTGTTCTTTTAAGTTTTTCAGCATAGAGGGCAAGGTGGATGTAATGTTTGTTTTGCGCACGTGCATTGCTAAGTTTTGGAACTTGTTGAAAGCGGTTGTCAGTGAGCCTTTTGCGTGTTGAATTCAGTAACGGAAAAATGGTTCCATAGATGTGACAATGAATCTTGTACAAAACTATAATTTTGGCCTAACTACTTCAGATAAGGTCATGGATCTCTTTTTTTAGCTAAACTGAAAGAAATGTGCCAAAGTGTAAAAAAAAAACACTAGAAAGTAGTGATTGTGCTCACATCAATGGCTTATTGGCAGCCATTACCTGTAGAAGTGTATCAAATGGTAGATTGTGATTAAGTTATACTATGACCAACAAAAACAGATTTTATGCCCTGTATTACAAATCATTGTAAATGTTTAGGTATATAAATATTTCAGAAAGTGACTATGCCCTATTTAGGCTATTTAAACTTGTGTTCCATTTTTTTTAGATTGGTAAATATTTAGAATGTTGGATTTATTTTTGTTTGGTTTTAAACCAACTCAATTTACCAGAGTTCTGTGTAATTAGTTAGCAAGGAAGAGCTTATGGGAGATGTTTAAGTCACTGGCAGCAGTCACAATCTATTTATATCAAGATCATCATTTATTTCCTCTTTAGTTTTGGTTAATATAAAAGTGCACAAAAACAAAAAAATAGATGATCGATTGTAAACAATGCAAACTAATAAGGTTAAGAATAGATTTCTTTGGTATAAGCCAACATTTCTCTTTTAAAAAAAAAAAATGTTTTTAATTAAAATACATATTTATAAACTCATGATTGTATATGCATGATCAATAATGAAAACGTTTATTAAAATGTTATGTTACAAACTGAAGTGTGTAAACAAATAAGTTGCCATATACTCAGAAACATGATTGTACTCACAGACCTACATATTGAAATTTACAGGCAATTACTCACAAAGGTTCACACATAGCAAGTACAGTTACACATACAGGGTTATATACACAGACATTCCATCCACGTGGCTAATCCTTGAAAGACAGGAATACTGTTTGTGGAATCTGCTTCACTGAAAAGCACACTCCCCTCCTCACCCCAAACCTGCACACTCCCGTCCTCACCCCAAACCTGCACGCTAATGGCCCCTCCTCACCCCAAACCTGCACAGTAATGGCCCCCTCCTCACCCCAAACCTGCACAGTAATGGCCCCCTCCTGCACAGTAATGGCCCCCTCCTCCCCAAACCTGCACAGTAATGGCCCCCTCCTCACCCAAACCTGCACATTAATGCCAACTCCTCACCCCACTACTGGCTCCTGTTCTTTTTCATGTAATGTTACCACTAACATTTCTTCTTAGTGTCTAGTCCCTATTTACAACTCCCAATGTTAGAATTTTACACCATGGGTTTGCCATGATTACAGTCCCCACCAGCACCCCCCAGGTTACAGTCCATGGCCCCTGGGATCCCATTCTTATAGTTCATGGTCTCTGGGACACAGTTTACAGTAAGTGGCCCCTGGGTGCCTAGTTTACCTTATAGTGAGTGACCTGTAGGTAGTTGTAGGGCAGCCCCCTCTGAAAGACCCTCTCTGTCTCCTGGGTCAGTCGGTACAAGGAAGGTTCTCCCAGCAGAAGCTTCTCACAGCCGAGCAGGCAGTCAGCCCTGCTGAGCACCGCCTCCTCTAGCTGGGGTCCCTGGGTTCCCCGGAGCTTACACTCTGTCCCACAGCGCAGCCTCACTTCCCGCAGCTCCCGAAGGCTCCGCACAGACCCCCAGAGCTGAGCTTGGGCCCCCGCCCAATCCCCCCGGGAGAACAGATCGAGCCCGGCCCAGAGCTGCAGGTCCGGGGGGGAGATGGGGTCCGTGAGGGTCCCGGGCAGAGCCAGGAGCCCCCCAAACAGGAGCAACAAGGGCCCACACATAACTGGCTGGGATCTGGGGACTCTGCTTAGATTGAGGGGAGGGAGGGGGGACTTCCCAAATTCAGGTCCTCCCTTAGCCCTCCATTAACCCTCTGTCTTCGAGATCCCTTCAGTAACTGTGTACTGGAGCCCTCCTTTAGCCCTCTGTGTACTGGAGCCCTCCATTAACCCTCTATGTACTCTCCATTAACCCTCTGTGTACTGGAGCCCTCCATTAACCCTCTGTGTACTCTCCATTAACCCTCTGTGTACTCTCCATTAACCCTCTGTGTACTGGCGCCCTCCATTAACCCTCTGTGTACTGGAGCCCTCCATTAGCCCCCTGTGTACTCTCTATTAACCCTCTGTGTACTGGAGCCCTCCATTAACCCTCTGTGTACTGGAGCCCTCCATTAACTCTCTGTGTACTCTCTATTAACCCCCTGTGTACTGGAGCTCTTCATTAACCCTCTGTGTACTGGAGCTCTTCAGTAACCCTCTGTTTCCTGGAGCCCTACATTAACCCTCTGTATACTGGAGCCTTCCAGTAACCCTGTGTGTTCTGTCCATCAACCCTCTGTGTACTGGCGCCCTCCATTATCCCTGTCCCTCAGTGTACTCTCCATTAACCCTCTGGGTCCTGGAGCACTCCATTAACCCTCTGTGTACTGGAGCCTTCCAGTAACCCTGTGTGTTCTCTCCATGAACCCTCTGTGTACTAGAGCCCTCTATTAACCCTCCATTAACCCTCAGTTAACTCTCCATTAACCCTCTGTGCACTGGAGCACTCTATTAGCCCTCTGTGTACTGGAGCACTCCATTAACCCTCAGTATACTCTCCATCAACCCTCTATGTACTGCAGCCCTCTATTAACCCTCCGTGTACTGGAGCATTCATTAACCCTCAGTGTACTCTCCATTAACCCTCTGTCTGCCAGAGCACATACACTTTATCTACCCAAGTACCCCATTAATCCTTTGTCTTCCCTGATCCCTCCATTAACCCTCTGTCTGTCAGAACTCTTCATTATTCTGTCTGTCAAAGTCTTTTATTAACTCTTACTCTTCCCAACCTGAACCCATATCCTTAGTAAAAACACTAGCCCAAAATCCCTAACCTTCCAAAGCAATAAAACTCACTGACATTTGCAGTGGGTATGAGTTTATAACAGAGCTCCATAGAAATAAAATTCATAGTAATATTCAATCTGTGTAAATGTATCACAGAGCTTCACACCAATGAAACTCACACAGTTATTGAATAGACGGTTAAATAGTTATCTTTTGCTAAATTGTAGCAATTTTTTCACACATTGTTTACTGTTGAAGACATTTCAATCAGTTGCTTAGTTCTATTAACCCCTTAAGGACACATGACATGGACACACCAAACCAGGGTGTCCCTAAATTATATCTTAATAATAAGGGTTAGGTCCTGGGTGGAGTTGGTACCACCCCTACTGACCAACCCCCATCCGAGATATTCTCTGTATAGGGTGATTTAGTCCATTAATTTTAGATGTGGGCCAACCTACAGTACTTTATGTATCTCAACGCATTCTAACTATGATACTATATGTTGAGTCTGTTACGATTCAGCATGATTGACAAGCAAGTTTCTGTATAAAACCACCATATCTGATAAATGACATACAACCTACAGACCATTGATGATATACAAAATCTATTAGACTGACATTTGCCTATGCATTCAAATACATAACTAGAACAAGCAATAGGTAGACTGCCGCCAAAAAACAACAACCTCTAAATGTGATCACACAGCAAAAAGATATATACCTACATGTATCAAATAAATATGTTCACTTTGCAGTGCCAGGTATCTAAAAAAAAAAAAAAAAACACAAAGTAGTGTAATATATTTTACAATAAACTAAAATATAACTGTGTAACATAGGTACACTCACATTTTTTAGAGCTACTGAGAGCTCTGCTGTATTCAGCGTGGATGGTATAATCCCCATCTAAGGATATAGTTCAGCAGTAAGATATGTGAAAACAAGAAGTGTAGCTACCCAATGGTACAGCACGGCAATAAACTGTGTAGAATAAAAGATAAGTCTTACATATTCCAGAGCATGGACATGCTCTGGTGTTTTAGAGTATTGGTGGTATAATCCCCACCTGGGATATGTAGAACCAGGAAGTCAATAGGTAATAGAGTAAAATCCTAAAAAGAAATCTAAATAATGCTAAATTGAAAGAGGATGAAAACCAGCCCAAATAAATAAAAAATGTAAAGATAAATCTAAAATGTAACTTTTATTACTATAAATTACATTAAAATAGAAAATATCCACAATAAAGTCTAAACTTTGATGCATGTACCACAGTCAATTATCTCACTATATATCCTACATACTTATTGAAGCCCTGGGATAGAGATGGATATTAAATAAGTCAGGTAAAATCCTGGCAACTATGTCATATGATGAGAAATCAGGTAAAAAACGTATCCTTCAAAAACATTTATATAACTAAATAAAGCCACTGATAATCACAGAGTATATAAATACATAAATCTAGTAACAGTAGTAAATATCAAATTGATTACCAAGGATCTAACAAATCCGATGATACCATGTATATACCAGAGTAATGAAGATACACAGTAAAAGATAGAAACAAAAGGAAGAGGTAGGGGATAGTTGAAAATCAAGGAGGGAACCTGCAGAGCTCATCCTTAATATAAACCTGCACTGCACTACACTGCAAAAACAAATCACTTTTTAGTACATATACCCACTATGATAACAAGCATGCAGTTAATTATACATTTTTTTAAATGGGGTATAATCTAGGAACAGCTTGCCAAAGCTGAAGTTATCTTGTCTGCAGCCTTTGCAAGCCCTCCCCTTCTTACCCCACCAGACTTTCTGTTGGTGTCCAATCACAGACTTCCAAATGTAACTCAATGATAAATTTTTGCAAGGCAGATGCCTGGGCAATTGCTGCCTCTTGAGTTTAGTTCCACCGAGCTAACCAACCAGTAAGTAACAGGACTTGCTGTTTGATTGACAGCCTGGAGATGTAACAAGGTTATTATTTGGATTTTGTGATATTATGTCTAAACAGAGCAAGCTGCAGACCCATAAATGCATAAGCAGACATGCTATTCAATGAACAGGGCCACAGATAGCATTGCAAGGCCCTGAGCAACACAACAAATCATAGCTGTTTGCACTGTATACCAATGCCTTCCACATCCCAGGCCACCCTTTGCTTCCCACCTTTTTTCCTCGGAAGGGGACCATGGACACTGGTGGCCTGTGAAGTTCTATGAGGAGAGGTGGGGGGTACATGCATTTAACTGCTCTGTTAATGCCCAAAGAGGGCCTCAATGGTACTTTGCTCCTTGATATACCCTTACAACATAAAGGAAGTCACAGCGCAGCGTATCTGCTGGGAATACACACATCAGGGAAGTTAGTCAGGCTGTACAAGAAGGGGATTTTTCATTTTCTGTGGGTCTCTAATAGTTAAGCACCCAGATGGGGGCCTCAATTGTCACTGCTCACTACCAGCAGCATCCTACAGGTCCACATGGCAACAAGGCTGCATAGCCACCGTATTGCTTTATTTTACATGGTCAAGTGCTGGATTATCTTTTGTGAATTTATATTACGCACCAACATGACAAGTTACCGATGAAAGGAGCATTCAGCCATATGCTACAGAGCTGGAGACCATGCATCTGACACTCTCAGCATTGCACTGACCATCAGAGCGCTAGGCAGTGCACTGACCAGTACAGCATTCAGCAGTGCAGTCTAGATAGTGAGCAGCGCATTATATTGCAGAGCTCAAACCCTTGGAGCATTCCACTGTTTTAAGGAGCCAGTCATCAGTATGCAGAGCATTCAGGTGCTTTTTGCAGAGCTGAAAAAAAATATTTTGCAAAGCGGTTTTCATTTATGTGTTTTATTATAAATCATTAAGAAAGCATAACCCACACTGCTAATATTGCCAAATAGGATAGTGCAAGAAACAACTGGCTGACCTGGCCTCCAGGGATGAAAACATTTTTTGATACAATTATTACATTTTAAGAAAAATAGCAGCTATCATCTGGCCAATCAGAAGACTGGCATAACCAGAGAAACGTATATCGCATCATAATTCCACCTTCAGGAAATTGGATGTTTTTACAAGTTATGATGTGCATTATTTTATATTCAGTTCATAATGTCTAGTTGAGATTACACCAGAAGAGGAGAAGGTTACAGGAACCCCAAAGCCAACCAGCTACATCAAATGCTATATTTCCAGTACGGCAAACTCTTTTACACCTACATTTTTTTTACACCTAATGTATATGGAAGCGACTTTTGTCCTACTGTAGTTGAGAGTTTCGCCATAAGGCCCCATCGCTTGAACTTTTAACTGGATGGTTTAAAATCCAAAGCTCCACCTGGGCTTGGCGTATCCCAATTGAATCTTGCTGTTGAGAAGGGAGACGAGTCCCACCGAGGTGTCCATGTTTATAGGTCTGTCTAGGACCATTAGGCCATTGGCTCTGCCAGGAAGAGGGCTTTGTTGATGCGCCAATCTTACCAACTCCACTAGATGTTCCTTAAACTGGTCCAGCTTCAAAGACACAAGAAAAATATAAATGATGGTATAAAGATACATAGAGGAGATTGTCTACAGCTTTCATTTCGGTATATAAATATAACTGAAATTTCCAACATTTTCTAAACTACAAGATATTCCATTTTCAACATGGAAACAATAATATTTGCTTTCATTTATGTACCAATACATCTGTACTGTGGGTAACCAACCTTAGCAGACAAGATGTCCCACAGCAGTTGTTGCACAACAGCTTATACAATGCTCAGCCAGTTCATCTTGGCTACTACAATGATCTCAATCTAACATCACTCTCCTCACCTGGCACATGTCTTCAAAGTCACCCTGCTTAGGTACTCCTGGGTGCTTTGACAGGATAATGTAGGAAAGGTCAGTTGCCCATGGATTCCACCATGATAGAATAGAAG